TATACCTAACATATATAGAACTGCCAACAACACTACGTGCCGAGCACCGACAACGTACTGACAAGGACGACAAAATTAGGACGCTAAGATATTTAGGATTGTTAACTGACAACGAGAAAAAACTCCTCTATACTTTCAGTTTAATAGACTACGTCCTTATTAGTACTCTCGAATTGTTTCACTTTACTCTGTTGTCCGGCATCTTAACACTGCCGCCGTACTCTGATGTGGCAAGCATTGTTTTCTAAAGAGGGTTCTGAGTCGGTTGACAACTAAATTAGGCTGCAATGACATCTGACAGCCCGCGAAAACGATTCACCATTTCCTATTTTTTTCTTAAACAAAAGTTGGAAAAATGTCAAAGCAATATTGTACGACAAGCGAAAACCATTTAGAGTTTTGTTCCAACACGCTAACTCAAGAAGCTTTCAAAAATTTATACTAAACGTTTAAAAATGTCGGACGATCTATTTATATGGTCGCAACATTTTTAACAAACTTTGAGCGAACGGTATTTAAAGAAAACGTTGAAACCGTTTACAAGAGACTTTGGACTCGTTCAAGGCTCGTACTGGAAACTGATCTGATAATTTCAACGTCCCTGTGCAATTTTAGCGTCCTCGTAAAAATGAGCGCCCATAGAAAATCATTATTCGAAAACTGGTACACACATCTTGGAAACTACACCCATCAATTTTAATCAAAATGTCTAGAAATCAGAGGCGTTTAATAACAGAAACTTACTGAGGTGCAAGGTTACCCTAGCAAGGCCCTGTAGTTGTTCCCAAATCATTGAAGCAGACCGTGTGATAAAGATAAGCAAACCGACCGGAAAAAGCGTTATAACTAACATATATAGAACTGCAAACAACACTACGTGCCGAGCACCGACAACGTACTGACAAGGACGACAAAATTAGGACGCTAAGATATTTAGGATTGTTAACTGACAACGAGAAAAAACTCCTCTATACTTTCAGTTTAATAGACTACGCTTGTTTGATTTGTAAACCCTCGAAACTGATTGATTTCCGGCAAATGAAGAGAAATATAGAATTTTAATGCTACCAGAGAATCCTGCTATGGCTGCTTTACAGATGGTCAATAGAAAGATACTCTTATGGTTTTGAGACGCCATATTAAGTGGTGGAAGTAAATCTGAAAACACTCAGTTGTACAATAACTGCGGGCTGTCAAGGTAGCTCCATAAGGGCACAATACGCATGCGCGAGTAATATGCAACGGGCGGGGCGGGGAACACAAAGAAAACGGTTCAATGATGTGTTAAGGAGGCATTTTCAACTCAAATAGATTGTACGCACAATCGTAAAGCAAAACATAGCTAAGCAATGGTACCATTCAAACACTGGTTGTCACGGAAACTTCAAAGATACCGACTTTTGGCGGCAAACGTTTGAGTCTGGGTTCTCGTACAAAACGATGTTTTTGTGTATTCTATAAGAGGTGCTAAAGGGTATTAAAGCACATTTCCGGTTCACATTTGTCGCGCCTTTCTTGTAATGTTTCCGTGAAGCTTTTCACTTAAGGAAAATTGCGCCACCTAATTAGCGAGATTTTCACTTGACAAACGATTTGATGTCGCATCCTTGTTCAAGAAAGACACGCTATTATATAAATGGCACACCCGATAAATTCTCTCAGCCATATTACTGAATAGCTGAAATGTAAGAGGCGGTGTAGAACATGAACTTTCACAAGAAAGCGAATTGCAGAAAGCTTTCGATAGGTATGGATTAGACAGTGAAGTCAAAACAAAGAATGCAAGTGGATAAAGTGACTTCGACTGGATTAAACTAATCTATTGTTGTATTTTCTAGTGGCCATGGTTTTTACACAACGAGAAAGCTGACAGCAGCAAGACAAATGTAAAGGCAAACGGATCATGCTTGAAAAGGTAGGTTAGAACGCGGTTAACAAACATGTTTAGGCTTTTCTTGATGTTAGCAGGAAGAAAGCGCCTTGTCGCTGTGATGTTACGCTAACTTTCCAACAGTGTAACCATGCATTGAAGAAACCTAGAACTATATCTTTCTTTGGCACTGGATACATTCGAGTTTGAAAACTGACATTGAGTCTTAACTGTGAATTTAGGATTTTTTGAAGTACAACCTCTTATCTTCATTGCTTAAAGGGAATGCATTTTTCCATTTGTTCTAGGGACAATACTAAAAAAACCTGCAGCACATAATAGTCTTTACTCGTGCTGTTATCAGTCTTTGCAGACAGCGCCGTCCACTGACAAACTAAGCGAGATGGCCTTGGAAAACGCCGTACAGGACTAGGCAATGGAATGGGGTCGTTGATAGTATTAACCAGTTTAAATTTTCAGGCGTCAGATAGCGCTTCCGTAACTGAATTCCAGAACTCCTTTTGCTTCTAAATTCTGCGGAGACAACATTCCAGTTTAATATATTTATCTTTTCAACCCAAGAGTCAATAACATAGACATTCCATACAGTTCTAAACTTTCAAGTACTCGGAAGGAATCTATTGTGACCATGCTATTAATACTGAAATCTAGCTCTTTTAAAACCTTTTCACGCAGAGTTTTCTTCAAACTATCGTCATCTCGTCATTAGCTTTTATCTGTGAAACTTTACGAATTACACGAGTCAATGACATTATAGGGACATAGTGTCGGCGAGCTTCCACTTAAATTGTTGCAATGCGCCGAAAGTTTACAGTTAACTTGTGTCATGAATACGGAATTAAGTTGAACGGCAAACGTGAATTGCGGACGAGTCTGGCTACAAATCCAAAGTACTAGGGTTTAAAGAAACTGAACCACGTCAACTAGTAAAATACATGATATGTAACCAGTTTTTACAAGACTGTCGAAAAACCTATTTAATACTAGCTCAATACCATTTGATCGGATGCAAATTTACAGAAGTATTTGTCAAAACATAGTGAAACCACAAAGCCAATAAACTCTAAGCCAGTGCCAGAAGACAGAATCAAGCGCGGGAAAAATGTCGGACAAGCTTGTTCTGCGCCTGATTTATTGAGAGAGATTTGGCGGGAATTTTTTTTCAGCCAATCATGTAGCGTAAGATCACGCACAAAAGTGTGGGCGGGGTGGGGGTGGGGGTGGGGGTGGGGGTGGAGGTAGAAATTGTAAAATTTAAAGATGATGTCACAGAATTTTCGTTTGGCGTCTGACCTTTCCTGAGTGATTGAAAAAACAATGCTGACAGTTCTTTTGTGTCATTTGCATGACACAGCAAAACAAGAAGTAAAACTGAAACGAACCCAATTTAGATTGTGTCTTGATAAGAAGCCAAGTTCTCGGAACAGCTAACAGACTGGGTGAGAAAACAATAAATAAATAAGAGAAAAAATGGACACTATCCACGAAGTGAATAGAGAGCTTCGTGCCAGGAAGAACGAATAAGATTTTAGCTTTTCGTAGAGCTCTAGTTCGCAACGGTAGAAAGCAGCACACAAGATTTACTACTGAATGAAACAGCCGTCGCTATAATGTGTGTGAAGCTACGAGAGATCGGAATACATATGTTGATAAGTCGTTGCCATTGCAACTCAGTATTTTAGTGATATAGGAAGCGGAGCAACGAAAAGCCAATTAACTGACTTGACCAACTCATGGTGTAAAAATGATGTCGATGGCAGAGAGATTTAACACTGACTGACAAGGCTACATCACATTCTTCCAAAAATAGATACATGCACCAGTTTGAATATGCTGCCCTACTTTGAAATCTATATTTACACTTACATCAATACAGATGAGATACCCCGTGTAGTACTGAAAAATGCAAAATTTACGGCAAGGATTGGAGTTCAAAACGTTCGAGTTTGATCCTGCATTTTTGCACTTGGTCTACACTAATTCCATTCCATAATACAACCCCAAACACAGCACTGACGACTTTCAAAGCTGGAGCTATGGCAACGTGAAATGTTTACAAGGGGTAAAACGAATTCTTGGTATTTTTAGCACGTCTCGCGAGGCCAATTACTTACATTCTAGGTATAGACACAACGCATTTTTGCATAATTTCTTGATCAAGAGATACTCTTGTTGCCACAAATCTATTAACAGTATTCTGGAAGTGTAGAAATCACAAAAGAGAGCTTTTGTCTAACAGAAGGTGTCGCAAATTCCTGGAAGTAACCATGAAGTTGGACCTTACTCCGCAAAACGTGATTTTCATTTCACTACCCCGCCTCCGAGACTGAGTTGCTTATAAACAGAAAGTAATTCAGTCTTTTTGTTCCCAAAAATGCCGGCCCGTGTTATTCAACCTAACATCGTTACAGCCCAAATGGGAAAAAAAACACCTCAGCTCGTTGCAAATAAATTTCACTGTTTAGCTATTTTGAGTCTGCATACAAACTAACACCTGGGTTGTAAGCAGAAATTAAAAGCAATTCTCTTGTGTGTACAATTTTGAAGGGCAGCTCTTAAAGGCTACGGAAGTGGCTCAAAGCGCTTTTATGATGTTTTCTCAGTGACTTAATGCTTTTGTTCACTCGCCGAAAAAAGGAGTGCTTAAGACGAGCAAAGAATTTCAACTATTTCAAAACGATGAACCTTTCTTTGACCGAAATCAAACCGCAACCGCCTTCAGGAGGCAAACTTCGCTGCCTATCCACACAGCTGTACTTAAAAGTCTTAAGGGGTTCCAGATTTTTCTATTTGATTTATATCTATCCTGAGATAGTGCAATATAGAAATATGATTGCTCAGTAATAAAGGGCTAGTCCCTAAAAATGTCATCAAAAGACAGTGTCGGCATTTTAAATACTTTTTTTGAGGCCGGCACAAAGCAATTACACCCGACAATATCGCGGTCAGTTTGGAGTGAATCGCGCGTGCAAGCATCGAGGCCTTTTCACCCGCTGCGTACACTTGTGCCTGCTTCCTTGTGAATAATGGATAACCACGATATAACTATTATAATGAACCGTTTAAATTAAGTTGTTAAGATCGACCAAAGCATGGAATTGTCATAAAACAATAATGACATCCTTTCCACATAATTTGCGGCTACATTTTCTGAGGCGACTAAACGAAGACAGGTTCTGCGATGGATACGATAACAATTATGGTAAGAATTTTATCTTTTTTTTTTCTCTCGGCAGACTATACAATTGACAACTCAACACGCTTAATTTTTGGACAACGCATCTTAAGTAGAAATCTATAATTTATTAACTTAAAAGTCTGTCCGACTTTATATAATTTTTCACACCTTAACCTATTGGCGGACGAACCAGTAATTTCCCTCAGTTTGCTTAAATTATTAACACGTTATAATAATCTTTTGTCTGTCTTTTAATACACCACAGGTAACTTGGGTCACCATCGCATATCTATATATAGGTTTGTCCGTGGCTCTGCCGTTAAAACAGGTTTCTAACAAAACAAGTTCAAGCAGACCTCCAGTTACAGCACATGTGCAACAGAACCTAGCGATTGATGTGCAGAAAATTCTCAGCTTCCCAACATTCACGAGAAGGGTACGCCTGTACAACAAGAACGGATTCTTTCTTCAAGTCTCTGAGGGGCGACGGTTGAGAGGTACAAGAAACTTCAACAATAGGAACAGTAAGTATGGGTTAGCGAGGAATAATTCAAATCAGCCGCATTGACGTAATCGCTTCATAACTCGACTGTTCACAATGTTTTGGTTCCGTCAACAATGTAAATTAGCACACAGGGATAAGTAGACGTCCATTTCACGAGAGCGTGTTTTGTTGACGCGGCGCGAAACACTAGAATAGACGGTGGTGTGTACCTACTTTATACGACGGGGGCAAATAAACCCCACGCACTGCCAGACTGTTAACATCGCGAAGTAGTTTAAGTTTGTTCAGAGTAAATGTTGCTTCCATTAAACGGTGTGTGAGACTAGGGTCTTCATTCAACCATGTGACGCGCCAGTCATCAAAATCCTGCGTCACTACATTGTTAATCGATCGCTGCAATATTTCGAAGCGACGAAACAGCCCTACGCCCTTGTCCCTTTGCACAGAGATTATCTTTTAAGACTTATTCCTCTTCTGGACTCAAAAATCGTTTGAAGAATTTATGCAAGAAATAAGTCACTCATTGACAAGTAAATTCGGCAACTCAAAGCCCACCGAATGACCCTCAGAGACCTGGCTACTTAACATTACAATCAATGAAACGAATTTCAAGCAAGCAGAACGTTAAGTCACAATTTTAAGTCTCGAATACGACTCCGGATAGTAACTGGAGTCTTTGCGCCCAAGATCTGACATCGTAATAAGGCATTTAGCGGACGGCTAAGTAATGATAATGAATCGACACTACACAACACAAAGACATAATAACCTCCAGCAAAACAGTTGCAATTAAGAAGTCAAACACATAACCACGAAGCAAAACAAACGCCGAGTAATAAGTCATGCTAATTTTGCCACAACAAGTTCAGTTGCGTTCATGTTCTCTAGTAAGGTCGCCCTGTAGAATTTAAATGATTACAAAAAAAGACGATCAAGTCTGATCAAGTGGACCGGAGAAAATCGAAAATGACTTCCTCTATTCCTTGTTTGGAGAGAGCCAATTTAATACGCAATATAACGACACAAGATCAAAAGAAACTTGGCTAATTAAGCAATTGCAGTTTTTGTGGCCAATTTACACTAATCGTCTGTGAAATTGATGGCTCACGCTCCAAAATAGAGTAAAAGATCGTGTGAGGTCTACAACGAGCGATCGGAACCGCTCCAAGAGAATATCCTTCCGACCCAAGGAAATATCCTTTTTATTTTTTAACTGAAACCGTGACGCAAGAGTTCTGAAACTCGGGTTTCCCGGAACCGCGCTAACACCAAACAAACAGTGAACCTTATTAATCTTTATTTGTTTATCCATTTCCGGCGTTTGCAGGATCGGTCGCGCCCCATCGCTAACAAAAAAATTAGACCTCCTGTAGTCAAGCGAAGTGTTGGAGGCAGAAGAGGGTTCTCGTGAAGGCACTGAACCGCTCAAAGATTGTTTCCGGAAGGATAGGGAGCATTATTTTTTCTTCAGGCAGAGAATCGGAAATATGACGTAAAGTGTATTCTTTTCCTTCCTTTATTATCTGGAGAAAGGAAGAAGTCGAAAAACAAGGAAACCACAACTATATTACAGGTTGTTTGGCAGCAATTTTCCGGGATATAGGGCGACACAGAATTACACTGGCGCGCCACTGGGCCGTATATTTGATAAAATATATACATTTTAAAAACGGAAAACAGCATCCCACGCAAATGCGTAGACGTCTTAATCTCATTTTAAAATACTGTGGTACGAGTCTTTGGTGTCGCTGCGAAAAGGCTTAGTTTTTTTTTTTGTATTTTGGCGCGAAAAGGCTTAGTTAGCCTAGTCTGTTCACTCATTAAAGAGTGAGGGCTTACTTTGATGGGGCTTTCGTCTCAAAAGTAAATAATATTCGAGATTAGGAAACGGAAACCAAGTTAGAACTACTCGAAATCCGTAAATCTGCTTCCGAAGTGGATAACTACTTCCCCACAAACCGCAGGATCGTTTCAGCGCGCGAGCCTCTTAGCGAATGAGTTGTATTTAAAAAAACGTAATAAAATCAAACCTTTTGGCATTCCTTTATCGCGTGACTCGCACAAGGAGACCTACTGCGCGTTTTAGCAGACAACATTCAAAGGAAAATTATTGATATACGTCTTGACACTTGTAAGACTATTTACAAAGAGGCGCATGCTGGTTAAATTAACTTAGCTCTGTCGTAAGATATTTTTAGAGCTGTTTCGCAAAGGAGTAAAGTTATGTCGGCTCTCAATTAAGGTACTTGAAGTATCCAAAAGCCAAAAATAGAACACGCACCACCTCAGATTTGGAATTTCGAAGGATGATTCATCATGTTTTGATGTTTGGTTCTTTAGAGTTCTCACGTCGCGCATAAATATACGTAAATATACGCTCTTATACGCGCAAATATAGAATACAAAACCCAATATTGGGCTCAATTTCAAGCCATGCATTAGAAAGCTAATATATTAACATAACTAATAATTTAATGATCTTTGAATTATAAACAAGTGCCACACGTCTCGCCATCGCGATGCTTTTTTTTTTCCTTTTTGATATTCTCGCTTCTTTTTCCGGTTGAAATTTTAGCTATTTCCGGTAAATCGAAGAGAGCTTTCCATTTGTCAGAACTGGCCGGCCGCACCATTGCCGGACTAGTCAGTTAGCGAATGAAATCGGCTTTTTCCAAGGGTTTTTGCTGAAAAACCATCTCCTTCGTGCATACTATTTGGGACTTGACTGATCGGGCTGGATAGTTTTGATTAACAGTGAAATTCTCATTACTGCGACGGGAACGGTCAGGCCCGTCAGTTAGGCTCTGTCGAAGGGCTTGAGTCGTTTAAAAAGGTATCAGTGCAGTTTATAAGAAGTGCGATTGAGAAATACAGTAGCCGATTACCACTGCATGCGAAAGAATTCAGAAAGAATACTAACCACTAAAGACAATGTGAAGAGGGACTAAGACTTCAGACTAAATGATTCATAGTCGGTTCTGAAACCAAAGGGTCGGTTATTTAAGCGAAATCATTGGACCTAATCAGGCTAGTGCTTTTCCAGTCTACGCTATATGCTTTATTGAAACTGTGCACGATAAATGGTGTTTAGATAAAAGCGGTAAGCAAACTGAAAATGGCTTAGCACGCAGTTCTGTTAAAAACGGCCTAAACTCCGTTTAAATAACAGGCCCAAAGTATTTTCGTTTAAACGGTGTTGTAGCACCTTTCATGCTCAACTAACAATCCTGCCTTGAGTGAAATAATACCAAAACTACTTTTGCATGAGTGCTTATATACGTGAGAAAAATTTTAAAGTAAATAGAACGGCCTTTTTTTCGTTTTTTTTTTTTTTTTGTACAAGGGCGTCTATTTTCGTTAGGTTTTCCCTTGTTTATCCGATGCCACCATGTTATTCTTGTCAAACGCACTGCTCAGAGAATGTACTAAAGCGATTGAATAGCCCGTGAAGTGAAAGCTGCAGTATTTATTGGATCAGAAGATACGTAAAATCTCTGAAAGAAAACTGAATTTGAGACATCGGCGTCCTCATTAAAAAACCCTCACATTTCTTTCCCTTTTTTAGTTTTTGTTTTCTTGTTTTTGTAATTTGAATTCCCGGCGTAAACTTTTCCCGGTGAAACCATTTAAAGGGTACTTTTCCATGGAATTTAACGATTTAGGATTTATTTGAGGCCGGGATATTAAGTATACGTTACACATTTTTGTTTTGTTGTTGTTGTTGTTGTTTTTTTTTATATATATAAATTGGCTATGCGGCATTTTTCACCTGAAAACAATTCCTCTTTTTTGGGGTATACGGTATATTTCGTTTCCGTTAAGCTGCGGAAAAATGGGCCAAAAAAACGTGCAATTTTTTTGAAATATTTCAAGACGAGCTGAAAGCTATATCATGCGTTTTACAACCAACGTTCAAACCTGTCTGGCAACAAATCAGTTTGTTGCAAGCTGCGCGAATGGTTAAAATTACGCGAGAGTCGCGCTATACACAGAATTTACGTAACTTGTTGCAAAACAAGTTTGCCTTGAGGCCGGTAAAACGCGCAACATGTGCAGATTTTGTTGCAAAAAGGATTGATGCTGGACAAGTTTGATTCGTGGGTGGTATAAAACGCGGAAAATCACTACTCAACTAGTTTTGCAGCAATATTATAAAACAAGTTGACGTCAGTTTTTGTTGCCAGTTTCACCGTTCCTTTAGGTCGCTGATATATGGAGAAACTTTGAGAGAAATTTGGGTATTGGCTAAATTAATTCGGTTATAGCAGTATATTACTACTCGCGCTTGCCAACCCTGGATACTAAGGACGGAAAACATGAAAACACAATATCAAAGTTCTTAATCCTACTTCAAGGCACTATTATTCCTTTCCACGTGGTCTCTTCTCCATATATTCCCAGTAGGAGTTAATAAGCCTAACAACCTAATCGACCATTAATCATTGTATTTATATCGCGTTTCATCGTGAAATGTGCCAGGATATCAACGCTGTGTGCGATTACACGATGCAATAAAAAGCATTTGACCCTATTTATTAGATATTAATCGGTTTGAGTGTATACCCTCTATTTCCTTAATCTCAATTCCAACTAAAGGTGACTGCGCAAAAACCGATGCGTGTAATTGCGTGCATTTATAATTAGTGCATTTCAAAATTGAGCGAGGTTCAACGTTTACGCTTATACGAGCGACCTTTCATGCATTGCCTCTATTTTATTTGCGAACGCGAATTTTACGCACGTACGCACGTAAAAATTACTCGACACTGGAAATCAACCCTGTGTCACGAAATTTATCAAAATTCAAACAGAGGGAAGACTACCAAATTGAGTGAAATATTAAAATAACCACTCAAAAAGTTAGAGCAAGGTATAAATGATAAAGCAAATAAAAAAGGAAACGAGAGTGGATAAACTTAAAGAAGATTGAAACGGATTGCAATTTCGGTTTTTGAAAACTTGTTAGCTTGACAGTTTTTTAAAATTCACAAATGCTTGGGAGACATATTTGAGGGGCACCCACGGCTTCCTCCTAAATACATTGATAACACTTTTTAGGCTATCAGTTCTCTAGAAATGTATTCTAAGCGACGATATAAAATTTGTATCTGTTCGGTCATCCTAGGGGAACTTAAGTCTTTTTGAAATTATAAGGGTTGAGTATTATTTTCTCGAAAATTTTTAGATGCAATTTGACGTACTACGAAAGTGAGACATTTTCTGATTTCTCTCTTCACCGCATTTTTGAGTCCGAAAATTTTAGGGTTTCTTTTTCCTTACGAAAAATAGTCTAAACTTGGGAAAGTGAAATGCGAAAATTAATTTATTAGATAAGCTTTGAAAATTGTACATGAGTGGAAAAATCATCTCGAATTTTTAGCCGTCCACAAAAAAAATTCTGTTTTCACAGAAAACAGTCTTTGGGTGCCTCTGATATGTATATATTTTTTTACACAAAGCACTGATTTTGTCATTCACAGTTAATTTCACAAGTTTCATAGCAAGTAAAGACGCGTAAATGGCACTTAAAACAAAATCAACAAGGTAGCCGTTACACTGCCCTTTTAACACAAGAGCATAGTTCTACAAGACAGTGAATTGGTTTAATTGTCTATACCTCAAGTAACACAAATGACCATTCAATTCCTACAACAGCGGCTCAATTGAAATTTATATTTCAAAACAAAATAAACAAGTAAAGGAGTACAGATATAACATATAACATATAAGTGTAGTTATTTTCCTCTTTAACGTGTTAACATGTTTTTATTTATGACGAAAGGAAACTTGTCATTATAGGTCTTACTGTTTGTTGTTGATAGGTCCCACTGTTTCGGCCGATCAACATTCGTTAAAAAAATAAAAAATAACATGAATGCCAAACAACAATATATATATATATATATATAATTTTATATATTTGCTTTAGTTACGACTCTGTTGGGGTTCTCGCAGAATCAATAGCTGTTTATATTTTTTTAAAAAAAGCAAAACATAAAAAAACGTGAGACTGAAAATGTGTTTCTCAAAAAAAAAGCAATAAATATCACTTAAAATTTTGACATTTCTATTTTTACTTTGGATTTATTTCTCCCCTAAGTCGCTGCTTGTTAAGTTCAGAGCACTCTGAAAAGCACGCAAGCTTCACACGCATTCAAGACCAACGCAAAAAGAGGGCTTCTGTGTAGTCAACCAGATAATTGCCGAATTAGCTTCGCTCTAGGGGTAACAGGCAATGATAAAATACACTGCTCAAACCCTATGACCACAGCCGAAAACTGTTGGTATTGTCCCTCTAGTCACCCCATGCATGTGAGGGAATCCAAGATAGTCTTGGATTCTGGAGTCCACGAATTGTACTCCGGATTCTAGGTACTGGATTCCGGATGTTTTGTCAGTGGACTTTGAATCCCGGATTCCAATCATTGGTGAGATTCCAGATTCCTTGAGCTGTATTTCGGATTGGTTTGTAGGCCCAGGACTTCGGATCCTACAAGAACAAATTTCCCGAATTCCACAAGCAAAAATTTTCCTGATTCCGAAATCCCCATTTCCTTACATGGAGCGATACTAGAAACACTTACAGTTTTGTTCTATCTTTCGTTGCAGCTCTACTAGACATGGAGTCAATGGGAACAAGTGTGGTGCGACTCAAAGGCGTGGTGTCGAATTCTTATTTCTGTATGAACGGCAAGGGAATACCACATGTTATGGTGAGTTACATCATTTGCTGACTCTGTAATGTACTTCCTAGGATATGACAGGAAATAAGTATTGGACAGACTTTTAAATTATTAGCTTGTCGTTATGCGTTACATTGATGGAACGGTAGAGGCAGATAATGAGAATAAAATTGCCCTTGATTTGGAGTATACATTTTCCGGAGAGTTTTTCAAGGTAAAGACTGCATATATCGTGTTTATGGATTCTACACAAGGAAGACAAAAGTAGAACAGCGTCTTCAATTAACTTTTTTCAGGCTCAAAATCGGTTACGAAAAAACCTGCCATGTGGGTCTTTTTTCTGCGTCAGTAGAAGGTAGCACTATGGTACGACCATTCAGTGAGACCTCATGTCTACTAAGACTCAAACGATTGATATGAGATATCGACCGTTCGGTACAATTTTCATCAAAATACCTTAACTAGTCAAACCAGGTAACATTTTCGCGAAAATAAAAAACAGGGAAACAATCTGTGAATCAATAAGTTAGTCAATCAGGTACCGTTCTATTCATCAGTTGGCATGTACATTAGCCCTTCGATCAAATAATGCTAGTTCTTGCCTCTCTCCGTTTTCAGGCCCATCCCTCAGACGAATGCTTGTTTAGAGAAACGTTAGGACCGAATCATTTCCACACGTATACCTCTTACAAGTACAGTGGCAGGAATTCGGGAAACATGACCCATGAATTCTATATCGCTATCAAGAAGAACGGCAAGCTTAAGCACGGCGCTAACACAGGTCCTATTCAAAAATCTGTGGATTTCATGGTAGTGCCACTGAAAAAGGGGAATCAATAGAATGTTCTTCTAAGGTAAAATGTTGGGACAAGACGGCGAGGAAGCATTCGAATACGCAGCATCGTCTGTGGGATGAGTTTTTGGTGTTGAGGGTGTGGCCACGGAGGGGTGGCTAACTGGTACAAATTGAACACCTTCTTGGCAAGCGGCGCTTGACAAGTTTTATTCATCCTCAACATCGTTTTCACCATCATGATTATTATCATCAAGCAACGAGATAGATGGATGGTAGAGGGATCTAAAAGCGAATATGTAGTAGTAGATACAGAACAGAGAAAACATAATTATTTAGTCCCGTAAGAGAGCGCAAGAGAAGTTATGGATATGCAAACAGTGATGTCGTGACTTTAGAGATTCAAAGTTCATCAGCATATTGATAGCGGTGAACAAGTCCCAAGTCGAGGCCATCAAGTTGGTAGGTACCAACTGACACAAGCCAACCAATTTGTAGAGTTGTAAAAGTTGTAGACAACTGTCGCTGAGTTCAGCATCACTAGAAGGAGAAACGGAAGCGTACAGGGACAATATACCACAAACAGAGAAACGCTCGCTAAAAATTGAGATGAAACTGTTTCAAACATGGTGAGCGACAAGACCATGAGAAGTTGAAAATTGGCAGATATTAAAATGGACTCGTTGAATACCACACACCAAACACGTCGTTAGCCAAATAGCTCCAGGTAGAAAAAAAAAACGGTTCCTGGGTGTAACAGCAGTGACAGGTTACGTACATCTCGTACTACAGCTAAACAAGAAGAGGGATGTCAGAATAACACCAACACCGAAGATGGCGATGACATTGTTTGAAAACTATATTTAACGACAAAAAGGCCATAAGATTGTCCCCTTTAATAGAATCAGGTCACTTTAAAATGCACTCACCGTCAACAAAACGAGGAGTGCAATACAAACGATACAAATATCAAGTCAAAAGAAAAAGAAAACTGAGAACACCATAGAGTGGCTTTCATTCTTTTGGGCGTTTATCGCGAAAGCGTTCAGGATATTAGTGACGTTAAGATACACCGTATCTTAAGGTCTAAAATAAAGCTAAATCGTCAGCCTTTAATGAAGGGCATCTATAAATGAAGTCTACTGATAATGGAAATGAAATCAAACAATTATATTTAAAGGCATCTGGAAAGAAAAACGATGTTATCCTGACTTCACCGAATTGCCAAAGTTAAATAATATAATATACTTATATAATATACGTGACTGTGTAAAATGTACTTCCGCGATCTTACATTCTCACTTGAAAAGATTATCTCCGATGTTTGGACAAAACAAAACAAAATCGGGTAACAAACGTATTTGTGCAGAAACTACTGAACCTGTATGGGCTCATGACTTTTCAAAATGCTATATTCTCTTCTACAATTATCGTGTCGCATCATTCTCATCATTATCGTCATCATCATCACCATCGTCGTCGTTGTCATCGGCATCACCATCACCACCACCACCACCACCACTACCATCATCATCATCATCACCATCATCAATCACCATCATCTTCACCATAACCAACACTGGCCCATATTAACTAAAACAAATTTTCTTCTTACAAACTTCTGTATCGTCTAACACGATATCAACTAGTTTTACTGCCAATAACCTGTGCTACACTTCATGACTACCTTGTTCGCGCAAAAAAAGCAAATTTTTCAAAAAGGAAGGTTATAAAACAAAATAGATCATTTTTAACATTCTAAAAGTTCCAAGTAACTAGAATATATTTATTTGGAAGGAACTATACAATTATGAATGAAGAACATGTAAATAACAATAACATAAATCAGAATGCTTTTTTAAAAAGAATCGATTTTATTTTACGTGTACATAGCAGTTTTCTAATGACTATTTTTTTTATTCGGGATGGAACACCATTCAGTCACTAGTATGTACTAAGCTGCTATTATAAAAAGAAATGGTATTTTTGTGTTAGTACAGTTTTATAAAATTCTTAAAAAAAACTGTTAAAAAATGTGATTGATAAGAGAATGAGCGTGTGTATTTTATATTCACAAAAGGATGAGTTTCCTTTCCTTTCTTATTATATTCTATTCTTTCTTTTCTTTATTTTGCAATGACTTGTCAGTTATACAGTCGACTCCCGATAACTCGAACCTTCAAGGGAAATCGTAAAACGTTCGAGTTCGCGGGAGTTTGAGTTATCGGAGTACGAAGTAAATAACCGGAAAGGAGGAAATGGGATGGGGAATGCATGCAAGTAACATGCACAATTCAAGGCTTGATAAATACACAGTGCTGGACACTGTATTTAAACTGGACTGTCAAAAAAATATAAGACAAAGAATACATGGTTGTTAAAATAATTTCAATGTTTCGGACTGTAGTACACTTTTTTCCCACTTGTCAAGAGCTTAAAGCATGGTTCGAGTTATCGAGGGTAAAATTATATAGGAATGATCTGAAGGAAAACAAAAATTACTTCGAGTTAGCGGGACGGTAAAACTATAGCAAATGTACGAAGGAAATCCATGGGAAATCGATTTTGATTCGAGTCAGCGAGGGTTCGAGTTATCGGGAGTCGACTGTACTTCCCGACATCGTCCGAGATCACCTGCGATAATTTGACAAATTATCTAATCTACTCAAAAAAGGAGCGAATATAGTAGATTCAGAGTCATGTTCACTGCAAATAGCAAAAGTCAGTTCCAAGTTGAGAATTTTCTCAAAATAGAAAATATGCGCTCATAAACAGCTCAAAAACTTCTTGTGGATACAAATGACGCGAAAAAATTCTTTTTTTGCAGAAGTAATAAACCGCAAACAACAGGTAAAGAGAAAACTCGGTTAAGTGATAAAATATTAACGTTTGCCGTAAAGGTCGTTCTAAATCTCTCTATTGATTCAAGGAGGTGAAATTATAACTCTCTCAAATAAATAATCTGTATTCATTTCTAACAGTCAAGTTCTGTTAATTCAGAAAATTAGTACTGCAAACAATGCAACGATAGAATGAAAAAATATTCCCTTTTTGTAAGAATTTCGTTACAGCAATTTCAATATAATTTTTTCATCGTAGCAGCCCAGGCATGGGTTAGCGTCACATTTTGCTTCTCCAGTATGAACAAAGGGCATTGTGAGTGGGTAAAGCGACGGCCCCAGCCAGTGCAATACCGCAGCTATCCGCCATACTTGCCACACCCATCGAGAACTCTCTGTACTCTTGTTTAATCTAGATTAAAGGTAGAAACTTGTAATTAGTAACTTATATCTTATTCGATAATTGTTTTCATTTAAAAAAAAAAGGAAAAAAGAAAAATCAGCAAATATATCTTATTCACGATACCCACCATCTTTGAATGTGCTTAAAGATTGACGAGATATAAGCAATATCACGTGGTTTTTCAGGGGACAAACAAGCGCCAAAATTTGCCAATATGAGAAATCGCGGTCGAGTTTGTTTATTCTTTCAAAACGAGACCCCCCACCACCACCTTTGGGTGTCTTTTACTCTTTGTTGTCTACAATAAGCAAACTCGACAGCGATTTTTTTTCTCGTAGATTTTATCGGTTGTTTGCCCCATGAGAAACCATCTGACATTACTTGTATCCTATCAGTCCTTTAGCGCGTACAAAGATGGCTGGTATCGTGTGAATAAGGTCTGTTAAAGATGGAAAAAGCCCCATTACTCAAGGAAATATGGCTCACCTCTTTAGATATTCTGTAAAATGCATTGACGTAGCACGCACCACCAAGAAGTCCTTCGTACAAAATGATGACGAACATGATCCACACAGACGGCAGGAAATGAAAGTACGCTTCACATAAGAGTACGACGAGATTCACGTTCTAAAAAAAACCAGGACGTAGTTCGGATAAAATTTTCAATAATGCATTCTTATCTGGAATTGTTTCTTATGGAATGCTGTGACCTTTACAGACGTTCCATATGCGTCTTTAGGAAAATCGTAATTAGATCATCCTATTCAAAAACGGATACTTGTGGACGGGGTCTAATATCGATGATAATTACTGCTAATGTGATCGAACGTCAGTAAAGAGAACCTGGCTACTTCGTCCACCACTCTTGATAAGTGATATGCAGTGATTTAGACAAAAAATCATTCGTCTTTCGTCGCAAGAGCTCAGAGCCAGGACAAAAGACAATAAACTAATACTTAGAGAGCTGATACGATGAAATTCTGTTAAAATATCAAACAAGCACTTAGAATACCTGCAATACAGCTAGTAGCCAGATTCTGTGGATGGGAAAAATATTCACTGACGAACGAGATATGAGAACGCCAATTTGATAATCCACCTGGTACCTGGGTAGGAAAGGATAAGTAAACGTCTACTACCGTATAATCGTGTAAGGCAATCCAAGACAGTCTTGGATTCTGGATTTCACGCTGTGGACTCCGGATTCTAGGTACTGAATTTCGGATTCCTTGAGCTGAATTACAGATTCCAAAGTCCAGCTTCACTGCTAGGGCTGGAATGTCAATAGATTGCATTTGCGCAATGATGGTGATGGTGAAATTGAAAGTAAATCTATTGTATTTCGAAACATCTTTTTTACAGCATTTTCACTCAGGTGAACAATGGTCATGTTAACTGTTTGGAACAAAGTTTTACCTAAGTTAAAAGTTTAACTCGCNCCCCCCCCCCCCCCCCCCCCACCCAACCTAACTGTTCCAGGCTCCAAGATAGTAATGTGTTCGTAAAAACTGAATCGAGAGTTTAAGCCAAGGCGTTTTTGAGCGACGCAAATCAACCGGAAGTGGACTTTTTGAACTCTTCGGCCGTGATTTTTAATAAAATCTTAAGCAAATCGTCTCTATAAGAATAAAGACACTTAGCATACAAATTTGGTAGAGCCAATGTATATTCTCTGAAAGACAAAAATGCTCACTTCCGGTTGACGTGCGTCGCTAAAAAACGTCGCTGCTTAAACTCCCTATTAATGAGATGTAGAGGGGGAGGGGTACTACTATATAACTCTACTCAACAGGTATGTGCCGCTTAGTAAAGTAGGGTTTTCAGGTCATTTACCGTGTTTATTCAATTAACCGCCCTGGGCGCTTATTAAATTTTTGGACCTTGAGAGTGGGCGCTTATTCGAGGCTGGGCGCTTATTTAATTTTCACCATTTTCAACAAGTGTAGTATGTATATTTTGCAACAAAACAGTAAATGGTAATAACAAAACGCGAAGATGTAACAAAGCAACGTTTCTGTAAAACACTCTGAAGAAAACTCCGTCTTCGGGGAAGTCTCTTGTTAGTACTTATTCCTTTTCAGGGGGTGGCAGGGGGAAGGGGGTGGGCGCTTATTTAAGTTTGAGTGGGAGTGGGAGGGAGGTGGGGTGGGGGTGGTCGCTTATTCGAGGCTGGGCGCTAATTAACTTTTTCTGTCTTTAGGATGGGCGGTTATTCTAGGAGAGCACTAATTCGAAGTTGGGCGCTTATTCGAATAAATACGGTAAGCTGGAATAGGACATCGAAATCACATAATTTCATCCAGTTTGTCTAGAAAACCGTACATATCATTTATGGGACTAGAGGTTGTTTGGTAGCACTAGCCTAGGCTTGTTTGTGTCAAGTCCATAATAGAGTAGCAAAATAGTAAAGGCTAAGGTTAGCACTCAAAAATTTAAACAGCAGCCCTTACACCCGAGGGGCCTCGGCTGTATATGGGTGCGAGAGCTAGAACCTTGGACAAAATAAAATGCCCAGCAAACCACCATCCCTGCCCTCCCTCCCCCAAAATCAGGGACGAAGCCGCGCGAAACTGAGCCAAAACGCGCCATTTTCCCATTGAATTGGGGAGGAGGGGGGGAGGGCGGGGCAGAGGTGTAAATTTTTTATCATTTTTGTCCGAGATTGCAGTTCCGTATCCCTTATCAAAGAAATGCTTTCCAGCATTTTTCACAAAAAGCAGCTCTGGTATTTTAGAATACGTATGCAGATTAAGTGTTGTGTTCAGCGTTTCATATTCAATACCAGTGACGTTCACATACTAGATTTAAACTCAACTTACCAGACCTTGGTTGATGGAATATTCCGCAAAATATACAAAGAACAAGGGAAGCATATACTTCAGTAACGACTGAAAAAACAACAACATTCATAGCAGGGTTTAGTCTGATATTCCATGTAGCCTAACACATAAGCGGTATTTGTTAGATTGCTCAATTTTAGAATGAAAATGCGCATAATTATCTCCACAAATCTCTTGTAGAGAGATTAAAAAGGAATTTAACTATCACAGTTTGAAATTGCTGCTTTTCAAGCGATGTCACAGCCGTCCTGTTGGTGGGCAAGAACGGACTTGTGCCTTTCCCTCCCAGGGAAAAAAATTCTTTTCTTGTGCAAATTCCGCGCAAAAAAATGGATATATTGTTTTGTCAACCAACATGGTCACCTTATCAGGTGGTTGAAAACTAGTAATAGGTTACACTGTAAATTTGAGCTGAAGATTACAGACGTTCTAAGGGCTTCGTCATAGATTCCTTCCCCATCTGTACTTGGGGAGGATTGTGTGACGAGCAAAAAGAAAATTCTGCGTGGGACGTTAAAGAATACAGCCGCCTCTCATCGCGTCCCGCTGCAGTAGTGGAAAGGGATGAGAGGCACCATCGTTAACTAGGTAAGTTAAAACTTATACTTCAACTTTAGCGCATCGTGACATGGCCAATAAGATGCTCTGCGGTTCTCTGAGCATTGATGTACTGCAGGCTCTCTGAATAAGTAGTTTTTGTAATTTTGGCCGCAAGATCATGATTTCACTATGTTACAGCGTGAGCTGTGTGACAACAGATAAAAGATCGATCAACCCACCGCCCCTCATCAGAGGTATTCTCACATGATTGCTCTGATCGCCTATACACATGTTGAGACGTTTTGGGTGATCAAGAAATCTCTTACAGGTAATTGTCACGCAACGCTCCTCCCATGCATCGTTGCGTGACAACACAAAGAGTGGCTGCGTAGGGAGCCTAGATCAGGATGATCCGGACGATTTTATGGAAACCAGATGAAGAAAAAACTAACTATCACGTGAATTCTGCTCAATTTTGTAAATAAACGCAGAAATTAAGAATAATTACTCGGTAATTAGGAATGTTTACTTGAACGAAGAGTTGAACTTGGTGGCTCTGGATTGCATGTCTACGCTCTAACTTCTCAGCAACGCTAATTCCCGAAGAAGCCTGAAACTAGGGTGGTACTGCCCATGTTTAGTCCCTACACCTCATTTTCCGCGCGGCCCATGCGATTCGGGTCACGTGGTCCGTTTGTCTGGGATACGTCACCGAAATGCATTGACCGAGAAGGTCTTGTCAAGCCCCCTGCAAACGGACGCAGCATTTTTGGCCAACAACTCCCAACATTGTTGGATGTTAAACGTTGCGTCCGTTTGCACACCCTGTTGCATGTTGTTGGATGTTGTTGGGAGTTGTTGCGCAAAGCTTTAAACCAGTCAAACTTTAGAGCCAACAACTTCGAACATTTCTTTTGTTCCGTGATCGACCAAGCGTAGCGCAACAATGTTGGATCCGTTTGCACAGCTCTTCTAACATTGTTGGGGCCACGCAAGCGCATAACACATGGTCTCCTTGGAGACAGCACGTCAACACGATCGCAACAATTCACGACATTGTTGGCTAAACAATGTTGTGAGTTATTGCGTCCGTTCGCACGTAGCTCAAGACGCTGTACAGGGACTGCGCATTTATAGTACCGCCCCTTAAATGGAGGTAAAGTAGAGATAAAATGACTCGGAAAGCGCTACCGAGCGCTGCGATCTTACCTTGGTTATATCGAGTTTTGATTTCAAAGATAAAGAATTACTAGGATGGTCTCCTGGTTCTACAAATGAGAGAGAATATAGGACTTAAGTTTAAATCTAAAATGAATAAAAAAAAGGAAAAAGACGAAGCAAAATAATCTAGCGAACAATTTGTACGGTGGAGAGTAAGAGCTTGCCCCCCCCCCCCCGACCACACAAACGTCTGTAGAATTCGGTGATTTTGCGGAGCTGTATACATCTTCGTTATATTTCAACAAATCACTTTTTAACTTAGAACGAGCCGCGTAGCCTGTGTACAGCCACCCCCTCCCCTGAGAAAAAATAGGAGAAGTGGCGTGCATCTGTAATTCACCGTTGCTAATCGTGTATGGGAATAATTTTACATAAATTAAAAACAATAGTTTCCGCCGACCAAAATTTCCGTGCCTCGTGTTTCATGTCTCAAAATGCCGGTGTACGCGACTTACTTCCATCGAGCAATTGAGAGAGACACATTTCTAAAATCGCTTTACTCTATACCGAGCAAGAAGAGCCTTCTCCCATTATTTCCGCGGGGAGTGGGGGCTGTACACAGGCTACCGCCGCGTTGACGGATTTTCGCTAACTCTTCCCACTCAAAAGTCGAAAATACCGTGGAAGGGTCTAGCCGGACATTGAAAACACATCAATGGTAAGTCCAAGAAGGAGAACTACAGACACCCTCAAGGCGAATATCGGCTACAAGTCACTTGAACCGATCAAACCACCAAAAGGCCGTCCGCTATGTAACATAGTATGTTTCGCAGCCATTGAATTCCAAAAATAACGGTCGAGTTTTGCTATTTCATACTATATTTTAAAGTACTTATGTCTTGCTATTTGCTGTCTTCTTAAAAAGCTAGTCTTCGCATCAATATTGAATTCCAAAAATAAGACTACAAGTAGGCATTGAAACTGTTTCCTGCCGTCTGTTGCGAGGCATGGCAAGGATGGGCATGGCAAGGTTGGGCGAACTTTTTCAAGTTTTAATGGTATCCCTGCAAAAATCGCCAAAAAAATTATTATGGCTAGTGCTTCTTCAAAACTCTACAGAAGCATTTTATGTAAGGGTAAAGGCACCTAAAACAGCAATATCCCACCGACATCCACATACAAATTCTCCAAACCGATCTCCATACATATCCTTAAAGAAGTAGTTGAGAGAATTTGATAAACGATCAAAGCATTTTTCCTGAGGTGATCATTTGATTAAATCTCATAACCTTTTCCTTTGATAATGTGTTGATATTACGAGGAGAAAACTGTTGTTGGTCACTCTTAGGGCTAACATTTACCACTTTCTTTATCTCCATCAAATACTCGGAGAACACTTCTCACCAGTTTCAGCTACACTGTCATTTCCTGCGTTGGATAATAAAGGCTCCTCTTCTCGGACACTTCGAGGCTGCTCCAGTATAAACCAATAACTAATTTAAAAGAAGAAAGGAAAGAAAGAAAGAAAGAAAGAAAGAAAGAAAGAAAAAGAAGGTGAGGTCAGGTCGCGTTCTTTTTCCTCTCAAACTTTATTCCTCGATTTAACCAAGGTAGGGAATTTTTTCAGGGGTTGAATTTTCTCTGGACGACATGCTAGCTTAGTAAGAGAAAAAATGATCGACCTGAAGATGTGACGTCGAGTGTTTAAGTAGAACTTCGCCAAGTCCCCCGTCGCAGCCTTGCAATGACGGCAAACAAATGCATCATTACAGCGTACAAAGAAAGTGGTGTTTGATAGCCCGGGGCTAGTGGATTTTGCTATCGAGCTAGTGAACTCTGTTTTTAACTTGCCCGACGGGCAAGTGACCTTTTTTGAGGAATTCGAATAACAGAAGAACTGTGAGATCAATTCTGCTCTTCAAAAAGCTTTTGGGGCTAGTTGAAATGACGTCTGGGCTAGTAAATGTTAGCTTCAGCTTGCCCGAATGGCAAACTGTGAAAATGATTTTCTTTGTACTTGATCAAAAAGTATGAAAAGTTTTTGTTCCAATAACACTTTTTTGCTTTTTCTTTTCTATTTATTATCATTATTAAAATTTTTTTTCGGGTTAATTTCCAATTGCTTGGATTGCAAATTACCACTGCGACGATCATATCTTCATTATTTTAAATTTGTATTTCCGCAGTTCACATCATCATTTTTTGTTTCAATCCTTTCACGAGTTAATAACAAATTGGCCTGCCCCCAATGTCTTGGTTAGAATACTGCAGCGCTAACGCAGAGGCCATGGGTTCGAATCCTGTTGAAGTCCCCATTATTTTTTTCGGGTTAATTTGCAATTGCGACGATAATATCTTCATAATTTTAAAATTGCATTTCCGCAGTTCACATCATCATTCATTATTATCATTGATTATTATTATAATTTCTAGCACTATATGAGCCTGCTCTTCGAGCAATGAAGCTGTTTATGATGGCTGTAATAATAAAGAAAATAACCGTAATGCTATCTACACCCCCTGAACAAGAGAGGCTGAAATGGCGTAAACAGGTTGTAGGGCGCCTAGGGAGATAATAGAGACCTTCAGATTCTAAGACGAGGACTTCGAGTACGAGATTTTCTCAATACTAAGTAGTGCGTAGGCGTGACCTGCGTCATTTTGGTGGGAAAACGTGATAGCTGTCGACATTCTGCTACGAGTTTTTGTTCAAGAAAAACAAGTCATAAATTGTTAGAGATTTTGCCCTTTTGCCACCGGGATAATTAAAATAAAGATAACACTGCTAACGTTTCTGGTGACGAAACAACAACAACAACAGCAACAACAAAAACAACGAAGCTTTCTGGGGAGTCTATTTTTTTAGAATATGCGAAAACACTTTCAGTCAAATCTGCTACTCGTAGTCGTTCCTGTTCTCGAATCTAAAGGTCTCTAATGCGACCTTTGCCTACACGCAAAGAAGACCGCAAACTCACCTAATTCCTAAGGTGAATGGTATAACATTCATTATTAACACTGTATTTCTTGGAGATACTCCGGCTGATGTGAAGCCAGCATAAGCCAATGCACCGAACACACCAGCAGCCCCTGCATGTACAACAGAATAGTGGTTAGGCGTCATCCACTCGTATCCGTATGTTTTTGAAAACGGAGACTCTTTTTCTCCATTTTCAAAAAAAGCGCGTCCACACGCTGCGTATTTGAATCGTTTTGCCCCCGTCTACATGAAAACGCTGAAACGATGCAAATTCGATAACATCCCTTCCATGCGTAGGATCATGGGTACTGCTTGTAACATCTCTTGCATGGAGCATGCGTAATGCTTGCAGTATGTGATGTATGGCATCATCGTTTTCGAAAATCACCGCTTTTGTCCGTCCAAACGTAAACGAGAAGCCGGCGTTTTCGAAACCTGCCTTTTTGGTGCCCAAAAACTCCGTTTACGTGTGGACGGAAGGCTAAAACAGACCAAAAAAATCTCGGTTATTAAAAATATCAGAATACGCGTAGGCGAGGCCTTACACTCGTCACAATACTGGCCTCCACGAGCTAGTGGGTACAATTCAGACCAATCCTATTCTAGCCATACACCGTCTACCAACTGCGGAGTTTCGCTACCGACAGAGACTCTGTTGTTGTCGATGTTTAAAAAACTCGCTTATTATTCATAAAGAACATACAAAGAAAATTACCCTTCATTGGCCGTATTCACACTAGAAACTGCTTATCCGTTGGATAATTCACGTCAGATTGATTGTAAGTCTTAACTTGAAAATGGAACGGTCTTAATTTTGGATGGACGATCCGCCTGACTTTATCCATCTGTTTTTTTGTCAATTTTGACTGATTTTGAAGATGGATTATCCGTCTCTAGGGTGAAAACGGCCAATGAGGATCTTTCTATGTGATATAGACACGGCTAAAGTTACATCCAATTTTCCTGGCCAAAATAACCCCATAAATTATCTAAATATTGGGGCACGAATAATAAGTTTTACATCAGAAACCTTTTCAAGATTCTTTGTTTGTTTTTCTTCTCTGTGTCATATTCTGTACACGTACATTAGTAACAGCTTTCCCACGCCCACTGTGCGTTAGCCTGCGAGCACACTGCACTTATTTGGGGTATCACGTAAGCTTATTAGCGGCAGAGCCGAAAGCGCGGGAAGAGACCGAGCAGCGAACCATTCCCTTCACCGACAGCTTCGCCGCTAAGACAATCGCATTATAACCCAAACAGGTGGAACATGTTCGTAGGGTAGCTAACAGTGCGTTTCGTCTTCCTGTGACAACTTTCACAACTCGGTGACCTCTCCTACCTGTTCCCTAAGGTTGGGCGAACTTTTTCAAGTTTTAATGGTATCCCTGCAAAAATCGCCAAAAAAATTATTATGGCTAGTGCTTCTTCAAAACTCTACAGAAGCATTTTATGTAAGGGTAAAGGCACCTAAAACAGCAATATCCCACCGACATCCACATACAAATTCTCCAAACCGATCTCCATACATATCCTTAAAGAAGTAGTTGAGAGAATTTGATAAACGATCAAAGCATTTTTCCTGAGGTGATCATTTGATTAAATCTCATAACCTTTTCCTTTGATAATGTGTTGATATTACGAGGAGAAAACTGTTGTTGGTCACTGTTGGGGCTAACATTTACCACTTTCTTTATCTCCATCAAATACTCGGAGAACACTTCTCACCAGTTTCAGCTACACTGTCATTTCCTGCGTTGGATAATAAAGGCTCCTCTTCTCGGACACTTCGAGGCTGCTCCAGTATAAACCAATAACTAATTTAAAAGAAGAAAGGAAAGAAAGAAAGAAAGAAAGAAAGAAAGAAAGAAAAAGAAGGTGAGGTCAGGTCGCGTTCTTTTTCCTCTCAAACTTTATTCCTCGATTTAACCAAGGTAGGGAATTTTTTCAGGGGTTGAATTTTCTCTGGACGACATGCTAGCTTAGTAAGAGAAAAAATGATCGACCTGAAGATGTGACGTCGAGTGTTTAAGTAGAACTTCGCCAAGTCCCCCGTCGCAGCCTTGCAATGACGGCAAACAAATGCATCATTACAGCGTACAAAGAAAGTGGTGTTTGATAGCCCGGGGCTAGTGGATTTTGCTATCGAGCTAGTGAACTCTGTTTTTAACTTGCCCGACGGGCAAGTGACCTTTTTTGAGGAATTCGAATAACAGAAGAACTGTGAGATCAATTCTGCTCTTCAAAAAGCTTTTGGGGCTAGTTGAAATGACGTCTGGGCTAGTAAATGTTAGCTTCAGCTTGCCCGAATGGCAAACTGTGAAAATGATTTTCTTTGTACTTGATCAAAAAGTATGAAAAGTTTTCGTTCCAATAACACTTTTTTGCTTTTTCTTTTCTATTTATTATCATTATTAAAATTTTTTTTCGGGTTAATTTCCAATTGCTTGAATTGCAAATTACCACTGCGACGATCATATCTTCATTATTTTAAATTTGTATTTCCGCAGTTCACATCATTTTTTGTTTCAATCCTTTCACGAGTTAATAACAAATTGGCCTGCCCCCAATGTAAGAGTCTTGGTTAGAACACTGCAGCGCTAACGCAGAGGCCATGGGTTCGAATCCTGTTGAAGTCCCCATTATTTTTTTCGGGTTAATTTGCAATTGCGACGATAATATCTTCATAATTTTAAAATTGCATTTCCGCAGTTCACATCATCATTCATTATTATCATTGATTATTATTATAATTTCTAGCACTATATGAGCCTGCTCTTCGAGCAATGAAGCTGTTTATGATGGCTGTAATAATAAAGAAAATAACCGTAATGCTATCTACACCCCCTGAACAAGAGAGGCTGAAATGGCGTAAACAGGTTGTACGGCGCCTAGGGAGATAATAGAGACCTTCAGATTCTAAGACGAGGACTTCGAGTACGAGATTTTCTCAATACTAAGTAGTGCGTACGCGTGACCTGCGTCATTTTGGTGGGAAAACGTGATAGTTGTCGACATTCTGCTACGAGTTTTTGTTCAAGAAAAACAAGTCATAAATTGTTAGAGATTTTGTCCTTTTGCCACCGGGATAATTAAAATAAAGATAACACTGCTAACGTTTCTGGTGACGAAACAACAACAACAACAGCAACAACAAAAACAACGAAGCTTTCTGGGGGGTCTATTTTTTTAGAATATGCGAAAACACTTTCAGTCAAATCTCCTACTCGTAGTCGTTCCTGTTCTCGAATCTAAAGGTCTCTAATGCGACCTTTGCCTACACGCGAAGAAGACCGCAAACTCACCTAATTCCTAAGGTGAATGGTATAACATTCATTATTAACACTGTATTTCTTGGAGATACTCCGGCTGATGTGAAGCCAGCATAAGCCAATGCACCGAACACACCAGCAGCTCCTGCATGTACAACAGAATAGTGGTTAGGCGTCATCCACTCGTATCCGTATGTTTTTGAAAACGGAGACTCTTTTTCTCCATTTTCAAAAAAAGCGCGTCCACACGCTGCGTATTTGAATCGTTTTGCCCCCGTCTACATGAAAACGCTGAAACGATGCAAATTCGATAACATCCCTTCCATGCGTAGGATCATGGGTACTGCTTGTAACATCTCTTGCATGGAGCATGCGTAATGCTTGCAGTATGTGATGTATGGCATCATCGTTTTCGAAAATCACCGCTTTTGTCCGTCCAAACGTAAACGAGAAGCCGGCGTTTTCGAAACCTGCCAATTTGGTGCCCAAAAACTCCGTTTACGTGTGGACGGAAGGCTAAAACAGACCAAAAAAATCTCGGTTATTAAAAATATCAGAATACGCGTAGGCGAGGCCTTACACTCGTCACAATACTGGCCTCCACGAGCTAGTGGGTACAATTCAGACCAATCCTATTCTAGCCATACACCGTCTACCAACTGCGGAGTTTCGCTACCGACAGAGACTCTGTTGTTGTCGATGTTTAAAAAACTCGCTTATTATTCATAAAGAACATACAAAGAAAATTACCCTTCATTGGCCGTATTCACACTAGAAACTGCTTATCCGTTGGATAATTCACGTCAGATTGATTGTAAGTCTTAACTTGAAAATGGAACGGTCTTAATTTTGGATGGACGATCCGCCTGACTTTATCCATCTGTTTTTTTGTCAATTTTGACTGATTTTGAAGATGGATTATCCGTCTCTAGGGTGAAAACGGCCAATGAGGATCTTTCTATGTGATATAGACACGGCTAAAGTTACATCCAATTTTCCTGGCCAAAATAACCACATAAATTATCTAAATATTGGGGCACGAATAATAAGTTTTACATCAGAAACCTTTTCAAGATTCTTTGTTTGTTTTTCTTCTCTGTGTCATATTCTGTACACGTACATTAGTAACAGCTTTCCCACGCCCACTGTGCGTTAGCCTGCGAGCACACTGCACTTATTTGGGGTATCACGTAAGCTTATTAGCGGCAGAGCCGAAAGCGCGGGAAGAGACCGAGCAGCGAACCATTCCCTTCACCGACAGCTTCGCCGCTAAGACAATCGCATTATAACCCAAACAGGTGGAACATGTTCGTAGGGTAGCTAACAGTGCGTTTCGTCTTCCTGTGACAACTTTCACAACTCGGTGACCTCTCCTACCTGTTCCCGAGGACCATGTGGAAACGACATCCCTAAAAGCAACAAACAGAAAGTCAGAGCAAAGCAGCCGGTGTATGAATTGTTTGACACCCACAGGACTCTCGCTAGTGTGCGCCTCGCAGATGCATCAGCGTTAAACAGGTTTGCTTTACAGAAAATACAGTCAAAACTCAATTAAACTGTGACTGGATAACTTACTTGTCGAAATAAGCTGAATAACTAAGTAACGTTATTTCACCAAATCCTGAGCTTATGCTGGCAAATACAACACCTGAACAAGAAAATCATGATCAAATTAATGCATCAATGTAACAGTACGGACAATGCAGGTCACATACATGAAATACCGTAAATCAGGTAAATTTCCGAAAAAAATCCCTATGGCTTCTATCATTCAAAGGCTCCCACCGCCGCCTTTGTCGTTATCATCAACGTGATCATAGTGTTCCACGTAAGAAAAAGTTTTACAGTCACAGTTGTTTCGTGTTGCTTCGTTCAACCCCAAAATACTGAAAAGCGAGGAAAGGACTTCTCGAAAATCACCAAGTTTAGTCTACTTTTAGTTCATCGAAATGATTTAAACCAATATAATCCATTTTGCAGTTGGCGCGCCTCTTTAGTTAGGTGCATTGAGGACGTCAAATGCGATTATAAACATCATTCAGGCAACAACTCGGCTGTGGCTCAATGACAATTACTTGCCCTACAATTGTCTTGGGAACATGATGTCATTTGACATGAACAGTAAGCTAAAACTAAACAGATGTGAAGCCTGCAGAGCGGGCGTTATATTTTGTATTTCAGAGGAGTAGCGAGGGAGAGTCACGCGCGACAAGAGTGGCGTGACTAATAATAAAAAAGAACAAAAGAAAACAAAAACCGTGACTCTCGCGCCTCTTCTTGCGCCTGCATGACTCGCGCTTGCTTCCCGTGGGGGGGGGGGGGGGGGGGAAGGGAATAATTGGGGTTTTAAGGGTTGGTGGGGCGCCGGGGGGGGGTGTGTGTTTCAGGAGTTTTNAAAAAATCAAGACTTTTTACCATTTTTTAAGACTTTGTCTCAATTTCCAGACCTTAATTTCCAGATCTGGAAAACTGCTGGGCAAATTTCAAGATTTTTTCAACAATTCAAGACTGACACCAACCAAAAAACCCTAAAAATTACAAAACCAAAAACACTAAGATATCATCAATGAATCAATAATCAGTAGACATCAAAATTACAAGATAATTCCTACAAAGATATTGTAAATCCCTGCACGTGCGCCATCCGCTTGGGACTTATTTTATTCTTTTGCTTCCATTTGGTTTATTCTTCTCGACTGATCCATTAGCAACTCTTTTGGCTATATGTTTCAGAGAAAGAGGTCAGTAAGCATTCGTATAAGGGCCCAGACTATTTCTTAAAATCTTCAGAAGACATACAGAATGCCCGGGGGGGGGGGGGGGGTACTGCAATATTTGGGGTATATAGGTATGGGCCGCTGGGAAGGGAATGGTTTTCAAGCAGTTTACTCTAGGATAGGGTATATAAATCAGAGCGTTTGGCTCTAGAATAGGGTATCATTTTTTAGGAAACTGATCAGTTCGTTGAAGATTTTATCTAGATTAGGGATTGTGGTATAAGGTTTTGTTTTGGCTAGACTGTGCTAGTGACCTCAGTAGTTTCTGGAAAACAGCTACTCTAGGTTAGGAGGGATTTGGGGAGTTTACTCTAGTATAGGGTAGCAAAATTCAGCTGACTAGCTCTGGTATAGGTTAAGGGTTCCAGGGTCCCAGCGGCACATCGCCAAAGTACCCCACCCCCCCGGGGGCTTGCTTCCGCTTGGCTGGAAACGCAAAAGAAACGATTTAACTGTAGGTTTAATAGCAGAGGTAAGACTTAATGGAAACTTCATGTAAAACCCTTAACTACACTAAGAACTGCATATAGATGGAGCAGAATTCTTACCCAAGAGACTAAACCAAAGGACATGTGAAAATGCCACAACAAAAAAACTTGCGAAGGCAAAGAGCACGCAGATTACTATTCGTATACTGCAAATAAATTTTAAAAGAAGATTTTAGAAGAAGGATAAACCTTATAATAGTGTCATTAAAGACTAGTAAAACGGTGTAAATAGTTAAGATATAACAACAAAAATTAAGTATACCTGTACTTAATTTTTTGCATGTAGAAAGGAGCTGTTATCTTTATGATAAGAGTTGGCAAAATGTCTGCCAGCAAAACAGTCTGTAAAGGAAAATGAAGGTTAATTACTCCACATTTAAATGTTGTGATGCACTTTATTGTCAAAAGGCAGTAGTGTCTTATTATAATTATTATAATTATAATAATAATTATCATTATTATTATTATTATTTTGGCTGCAAAGGAGCAATGCAAGACAGAGCGAATCCTGTATTCTGATTGGCTACGCAAGTGGGCCTAAAGTATATTGCCTGAGTGCTTGGGAAAATTAATTCCTGTTTGTAAAATCCTAAGATGGAGTCATTTGAATGGTTAATTCATCATAGATTTCATCCACAGATTATAAAAATCAGAGTCAATTAGGGATCGAAGGTGGTTCATTTGTAAGTACAGCAGGTTTGTACATGAACTTACGGGAATCTAAATAATACATACCCCAGTTGACAGAGGATTGCACTCTAATCCATCAGAGACATTTGAGGATTGTGTCAACTCTGACATGCTTGAGTTGGTTGCAGCTGCCTAAAATGGTAAATTTTATTCAATTTTATTAATACAGTGTAACCTAGCTGAAATAAACAGCCCTGTTGCTTTAATTTAGGTTAACCGAAGGCAAAATTGGCTATTGCGTGTACATTTATGGGGGTTAAGTAATACCAAATACTTTTAATTATTAACATCCAGTGTAAATAAAAAATCTACATGACTAAAATAGGGCAAAGATCTTGCTTCCATCCAATGTAGATAATTGGTTAAACTCTATTTGCATAAAAGTAATAATTATTAGAAACAGGTTTCGTACCCTTTTTTGAACAAAAAAATTCAAGCACTTTTCAACAACTTTCAAGGACACATTTCCCATTTTTCAAGGACTCCATTCAAATGTTTTTTAGTTCTTCCACAACATGAGCAGTTTTATCCTGAAGGTCTTTCTTTCTTGACAATATGGGTTGGATAAAGTAGGCACCGAAATTCAAGGACTTTAATCCAGCACTGACTGCAATTTTCAATGACTTTCAAGGTGCATGTGAACCCTGTAGAAAGGAGAAATTGCTACATGTTGCCATGGTAGCAAAATTTCTGGATCTCAACAATCCCTGATTCTGCAAATACGGCAGCAAAAACAAAAAAACTGACATGTACAGTATGACTTTCCAACGCATGATCGCACTCGGGAACAGAACAGTAGCCCATACTTTTCTCCATTGTTCGACAATGCAAATAGCCATCACCGTCAACAAGGATCATAATTTGAGATCCTGAAATTTTGCTACCATGGTAATGTATCTTTTACAAGCCGTTACAAAAGTGGCCACAGAATTTTTAACAAATTATTTCTCAGTACCTGATCAGTACTATTGACGGCAAGAATGTCATGAGCTGCACTTAACATGACAACATAGCCAAAGTTGTTGCACAAACCCAGCAACCTAGAAAAATATTGAAACCTCAAGAAATTAATACCAGTTAAAAAAAAATACAATCTCAAACAAAAGGAGTGACATGTATTTAAATTTCATTCCACTAAAGGTAATTTTACACACAAAGATTTGCAATGACAATTTTTAGGACATCAATGTGGCAACTTCAATAAAGTAATGTTGCAACAATACTGCAATATGATGACATGACATTCTCAATATTGTTGTTGTGAATCAAAACATTGCCAGGTAATTAAGATCAGGATTCTTACATCCTTTTAAAAGTCAACCATTATTGCTGTAGATACATGTACATGTGAGTACAAATTTGAAGTGTGTCCAGCAGGGGAGGAGAGTGCAGAAGGGATTTCATGTAGTGAAAACCTCAGTATGACAAACAATAGTGATAGTGATAGTGATAGTAAAATAAGGAAGCAGTGTGGCTGAGTGGTCAGTGCATCGTGCTTGCAATCCAGTGGTCCCGAGTTCACGTCCTGCTCCGGCCACTTACTGGATTTCTTCTCGGTTGTCCCAAGTTGAAATCGTCGGCCACGCTTGTAAATATTGCCAACTGGTTTCCTCCTGCCAGTTGGGGTTTTTAATCCTGTTATGTTGTATTTGAATTATTTGTTTCTAAGTATTTGAATGGGATGCCTGTAAACTACAGTGTGGCTGGATAAGCTAAGTGCACTTTCCACTATAAACAAGCAAACACATTTTCCCAGTTCCTTGGCCCTTTAATTGTTATAATATTATATTGAGGTTCCACTGTACTAACTTTGTGCACCACTCTTCGCTTTTTCCTCCACAAAATTCATGATGATAATGATGATGATGATATTAATAATAATAATAATAATAATAATAATAAATACATAAGAAGGAAATAAAGAGTATGTCAAGTAAGAAAAAAACTTCCTAGATTCCCTTTTAACTGCCATCCTGTGAGCCATACACCTGTACATGTATTTCTTGTATCACATGAGACATAGAGTTAAAAATTCACTGCTACCTGTACCTATATCTCTCCCGTTCTGTACAATTCAACATATGTACATGTATTAATCATGCATTTATCAGTTGAATAAGCAGAGCCCAATCAAACTGATTTAAAATTTAGTAGGCAGGATCTTCATGATATTAGAGCGGTTTTCATTTGAGTGTCGAAAAGTAATTGGTTTTGCGCTTTCTACACGATGCGATTGGCTTAAAAGATTCGCGCCACCTTTTCATCCAATCAGAAGTAAAACCAAAGCCAATTGTGACACGCTCGCATGCATTTTCCCGCGCTTTGTGTCAGCCACATGTAATTACTTCGAGTTTTGATTGGTTCAATGTATTGTCTGTGTCCTATGTGATTGGGCAGAGTAATTACTTTGGTTTTGGTTTTACGACACTCAAACGAAAACCACTCTAAGCAAAAAAAATGTTGTTAGTTATATTCATACCAAAAGCCAATGAGGTTTCTGATGTTCTTCTGATTTTTAATAAGCAAAATGCTTTTATCTGAAAAGAGAACGAGGGAACTTCTTTGACAATGACAACAACAACAACAATTTTTTTTTTGCAAGCAGTTAAAATTAAAGCTAATACAGTTTATGACAACAATATTACTATGATTTAGTATTGACATCTTACACAACCTTGTATTTCTAAGAATATGGGAATAATGAAGAATTAGCCAGGGGATTAAAGCCAACCAGAATGGTGATCGAATCTACTTGATTAAACAAACACATATTTTTCATATATTTATTTTTTCTAATTGACTTAATTCCTCATGTTAACTTTCATAACCAGTCAGTTTTGACCAAATTTGGAAAACCTTTAAATCAAGTGCCTAAAATCGAAATATGTCATAAACCTTAGACTTTATCGTTTTCTGCTTAAAGTTTGATCTTATATTTCACTCGGGTTAATATTGATTAGAAGAGCAGCTACATATATAAGCACTGGTATGGAATGCCAAGAGGGACAAAAAAGTTCAAAAATAAAATAAATTAGTTTGTATCTTAGAGAATGTGCTCCCCCTGTACTGTGTTTTTAACGGGTTAAAAAACTCCATATAATTTTTATATGCATACAGCTGTACATAGCTTACAGTGTAGTAAATTTACATCTTGGAATTTAGGCTATCTATCCAACCTGTATGACACATGAAACTTGATATGTTATTACAGCCTGAAATATAGAGGTTGTAATTATCAATTTGTTAATTATCCTAAAATCCTTGGAACGAGGCCGACAGGTGTGTTGCAAAGCTGTTCCGTATGAAAGTGATGCCATGTTATGAAAAAATCATCGATGAGAATCTATTGTAATGGAAGCGCCTATTTTGGCAATTTCTTCGACAGAATCCAAGGCATTGTCTCATAGAGTAGCCACAATGAGTTCAAAGTAATCGACTGTACTCACAGCCTGAGTACTTCTGTGCCCACTCGTTTTAAGAAGGGTCCTCTGACTCACCTACAGAAGAAAGTGCCACAATTTTCACAAAATGCCTTCCTAAAACACACTTCAAGTTTCAAGCAGCTGAAGGGGATCAACATCCACGCTCTGTAATTCTTGGTTGCTTTTAATAGAATCACACAGGTCATGCGGAGAACCTGAATGGTCTTGCCTGATAAAAAAGTGGCAGTCAAAAAGACCCACCAATTGCCATATCAAGAAAAACAAAATGCAGTGCATCCCAGGCTAAATGAACAATCTTGACTGAGTCACACACACAATAAATTTTCCCTAGTAGTTGGTGTAGCTTCTGAAAAAGCTAAGCCAGCATGACAAAATATAGTGGAGATCAAATCATCACACTCATTTATAGAAAAATAAAGAAACAATAACTCCATTAATTTAGTAATTCATTCTCTGAGGAGAAAAAGCTTCACTAAAACGTTTTTTAGCCACAATGTAAAAAAGCTTGACACTTCATGGAAGACAGGTCAAAGAAAATGATAACTGTTTCAGTGGCCAAATTCTGTCAGAAACAAAAACTGCACGAAAACAGTATGAATGAAACAGACAAGGGAACAGACAAGCTTCATCACTTCTCAGTTCATTTGACCTCTCAATGCGGGTCAAGCAGCAAAACCGACCATTTGCTAAGTTAGGAGTCCTCAACAGCATAATCTACCCACTAGAAAGAAAACAATAATATTATAGCAAATGGCACGTTAAAATGAGGTGAAACTAGAAGACATGTAGGTCTGACAACCCCAGCAAACTGATTTCAATATCAGAAAACTTGCACTTTGCATTAATGGACACTAAAAAACGTTGTTTCCACGCGGAACAGTTTTGTGACACGCGTGTTAGCCTCGTTCCGTGGATTTTTAGATAAGTGAACGAATCAATATTTACAACCTATTTACTGGCAAGTCTTGCCTTCTGGACACCCCGCTATAACCGACACAGGCCCGTAACCGGGATTTTATGTGGGGGGTGCTAACAAGACCAGAGTGGACCAAACATCCGAAATGTATTTTTTGTTGTCTGATCCGTTTATCTAGGAAAGTCGCAATATATACGTGAGGAATTGTAACTTTAAAGTACACGATAGGAACTGAATATTACATTTCTCAAATACAAATGTTTGAATTAAGTTATAAAGGAGTAATTTTACGATGTAAAATGATACATCAAAATACTGCGGAACTAATCCCTCAGAATAGTCCCTAGCTCCAGCCTCTGTGGTTGTTTGGTGGCAAACAGATTTACCACCTCATCCAAAACAATTTTAACTTGATAATGTATGTGCATTAGTGCAAGGGACCAGACAGCCTTTCCTGGTCTAAAAATGAATGGCTCAGGTTACTAGAGTGCAGCTGGTTTTACTTTCCCAGTGAATACACTACTGCTTTTTCCATTCTTTGATTTTGTTTAAAAATCAGTTTGAAACTTAATTCAGTTTAACCGACTGCACTCCTTAACTTGGATATTGAGTATCAAAATGCAGACCTTTGGGGCCTGTGGGGGGGGGGGGGGGTGCGATCGCATTAACACCTCAATAAAATGGACAGCAGCTAAATCCCCAGCGAAAACAAATTACAGACGCTTGACTGAAACAAACTCCTGCTATTAAGGACCCTCACTCACAGCTGTACCTCGACGTCCCCACGGCGTCCGTAATAAAAGGAGTTGACTATATTTCAGGTTGTAACAACATATTGAGTTTCAAGAGACATATATGGCCAAATTTCCAACCTGAATTTTACCTCATAGTAAGCTACACACGCAATTAGCAACCCTACAAAGGGTTGTCAAAAGTAGCTGGCTGTTGGTGAAAACTGCTGCCTACATGTACTTGGTTAGTACTGGCCAGCTACTCCGCTTAGCATTTCTTTATGGATGGCGTTTTTTAAATAAAATATCCCTGGACTGGCCGCTTACTTGTCTACTTCAAAACTTTCTTACAACCCTGAGTACATCACATTCTCGATGATACAACCTATAAGCTTATTGAATTTTTGAGCACTTTTGTCACACTTGGCGTTCCATACACTGGAAACACTGTATGATATTTCGGTCTTAATAAGGAAAAAGAATATAGCTCTGTCAAACCTCCATGATTGAAGTCATTCACATTATTCACTTAATCGAACAACCTTCTCCACTTTGGTGACGTGGTCTGCACAAAGCAATTTCATTGGTAATTCAAGAAACATTTGAACGCACTTACAAATCTCTGATTACTGCTGGTTACCGCTTAGGTCTACATAATTCTATATCATTATATATATATATATTTTTTTTATCGCAGGTTCCAGTCAAGCTTTTACATTTGTTCTCCCTGGACCAAAAATTACATCATTGCATGTGATGTATATTATTAATTAAAGTTTACCCCAAACGTCAGCTACAAACCTACTGTATACTAACCTCCGGGAATTTCTTCGTTTCCTGGATCGTCTTCATCGCTTGAAGATGCTTTGATATGAGCATCTGGTTCAACTTCTGTGCTTCTACCCTCCAACGGCATCATTTCGTGCACTTACGAAATTCTCTTCCTGTCTCCGAAACCCGAGCTGCTGCAAACATTAGACCCAACGATGTTACGGGTTGCCGAACATGCAGAGGACTGGGGAATACTAATCTGTTTGTGACATGTGACTGAATTCTGCTCGCAAATAGGCTTTTGTACATTATGCTTTTGCTTCCCTACTAAAATGCTCCACCTTAATGCTCCATTTTTCCCACTAAAATGCTCGGTCTCCCCAAAAAAAGTCACTAAAAAACTCGGATAATGCTCATTATACAAACGGTTTTTTAAATTAATTTCGAAGTTTACACTTACAAAACTCGCGTGCAAGTGTTGCAAGTAAAAACGACAACGTGTACAAGTTCATAAATACAGCCAAAAAAACCAGCTGTATTAGGTTTTTTGTTGAATTTTGAATTCTAGTCTTCATTTTGTTTAAAAAAGCAGGAGCTCATGGGGCATGGGCTCCTGAAAAAAGTTAATTTCTATTTTATTTTCTTGGAAAAATTAATTTTCCGGGGAAAATGCCACTAAAATGCTCGAATAATGCTCAATGTTTTTGCCTCACTAAAATGCTCGAAAAAATGCCAGCATAATGTACAAAAGACTACTCGTAAAATGGCTTAATCAAGGCTTAATCTGCCTGCCAGAAATACTCGTTAAAATCGGTTATTCTGCTCAAAATTCTGCTTGGACACCGTTAATCTGCACGAAGTCTGCTCGGTATCCAAAAAATTTTCGGCCCTTTGGGCCGTACTTATTTTCTCAAATATAGAAGGGAACCTGGGCCTGACCCCCCAAAACTAATTAGATATTTAGATACTCGTAATGCGCAAAAAATTGTAATTCATCTTACTTTTAATGCGAGTGTGTTGTAGTTATTAAATAATCAAATTAATCACAAGGTATTTTCCATTTTTTTTTTTTATTTAGTTTTAAATTTCTCTTACAGCTGTTACGCATATCATTAGAGCGGCTGATTTTCTCTTATTCTCCTCAAATTCTGCTCGGAAATGCCTTATTCTGCTGTCAAAAATCGCCTATTCTGCTCGAAATTCTGCCGGCAGAATCTACCCAAGCCTAACCCTAATCCAACCAGGGTTGCGTCATCTAGTATCAGGCTCTTTTCGGATTTGTGTTTATCATGATCAACCGGGACCTGATATTGATCATGATAAACACAAATCCGAAAACAGGAATGGAGCCAGGAAATTCTTAATGATAAACAATTATTGGATGAGGTTTTTCTGATATCCAGAATGAGAAGCAAGGTCGAGGTAAGTTTTATCAGCCGAGCAGAAGGCTGAGGCTAGGCTGATGACACCTACCGAGACTTGTTATTGATTTAGGATATCACAAAGCCGAATCTTAGATTTGTTTTATTATACATTAGAGAGATTTAGAATCACGTTTACGGCAACCGTAAATTTGAACCACAACAGGAGCCGAATGCTATCTTGATCGCGTGATCTAACGTTCTTTACTTCTACAAAAATATATTACTTTCGCATTCTTTTCATCCATAAGAATCCTTTTTGACTTATTTTCTATTTTGAGAAATTCTTAACTTGAATTTGCCGTTTGCCGTCGTGACTCTAAATCTCTCTATTGTTTTGAAGAAAATAGCGATGAACACACCGTCACAAGGAATTGAATTGATCATTCATTGCGCGCGCAAGCCATAGATTAGTCAGTTATCTGCTAGCAGATAACTGACTAATCTGTAGATTGCCCTGATTTCCAAAATTAAATGTAGGCTCTTAGCCAATGTGAGAAGACAGAAAATGTGTGCAGTGTATAATAATCGCAGTAATTTCCTGTAAAACTGGTAATGTTGCCATATCGGATCGGCCCGTGAATCAACTCGCTCTAAGTAAGGTAATCCGGTTTCCAGAATCCGGGGAAGTTTTCTAGTGGAATCCGGAATCCTGAGTCCTGGGCCACATTGTTTAAAGATGGGTTAAGATAACCCATTGTTCTCGAGTGATTTAAAGGGGCTGTGTCACGGCAGTCCAGTTCATTTTGTTTAATTTTGCTTATTACTCGCCCTGAGTCGCTATGGAAATTAAAGTAAGCAAAGAAATTACAGGTATATGACAAAATCGGCAGAGATCCGAGACAAACAAATATGTCTCCTGAGCATTACTTTTGAAGTTGCAAGCAGCAGGGATCAACTTTGAAAAACTGTTAGGCTGAACAGTTTTCAAAAACCCTAATTTCAATTTGTTTCAATCTCCTTCAGTTTTGCCCATCCGTAGCATCTGTTGTTTCTGTTATGTTATTTTAACCGTCCTTTAAAGTTTTAAGCAGTTATTTTTATGTTTCTCTTAATTTAACTGGCATTTTGTAATTTCCTAATTTGGCTGAATTTCGTGTAGTGCAAAATTTGAATTCAGATATGAAACTTAAACAACAAACTCGGTTTAATTTTTTGTCTACACTTTGGTGATTGGATGCTCTAAAAAAATAGAAAAACTTATCGGAGAAAATGCTTTTGAACAAAAGAGTAAGAAACCTGGTACCAGTTCCTCGAAAGCTGGTCTAGTTAAACCCAAGATTAAGCCAAATCTTAAGCAAGGTTTTGAGTCTAAGAACATGTCACTCGAGCGAACAAAATACTGTTGTGTTTTGACTCCGAGATTCGGTGATGATAACATGTTACCCTAAGTAATGCACAGAAAGGTAAATTGCAAAACGGGAACAAAATTTTTAATCCTGGAATTGCACTAATCGGCCTTTCAGGAACCGCCGGAAGCCTGGATTAAAAGTTAACCCCTGGTTAGCGCTGATTGGCCTTCAGACAACTGGGTTCTGGGCATTGAAATCAGGTGGTGAGGCGCAAGAAATCTGGAATCCCTCTAATGATTGCAGTCCGGAATCCAAATTCCCCTGACAAAGATTCCGGAATTCAGTAGCTGGATAATCGTACCTTGGCGTCGCACCCTAGGTCTGACCAAGAGTGTCTTTGATTACCTTATATGGGGCGAGTCATGATCAATTCTCTTGCTCAACCTTTCTCTAAGCAAGAGGAACAGAGTCGGCAGGTCCTGTATTTCCCCGAGTAAACGTATAACGTAATCTTATTAGCATGTTAGCTTGAAAATACTCGTGACTACCAAAGTATGTAAAGTGTACACATTCTTCAACGTCCTTAGACAATTTCTTCCTTTCATAATAAAAATTCTGTTCACAAAACAAACTAACGGGGATGGCATGTGTCATTTTTTCTGACACTACGGTATGTTACATTTAAGTTATTGGCAATATACGACCTAATTTAGTGGCGCAGTTTCTACGGAAGTGTCTGCACCACTGAAGCCATCGCTTAACAAGACTGTTAAGTATCGACAAATTGATAATGCTTAGCTGGTATACAAAAACTATTTTATGCTCTGAATAATCTTGCCGGTTGAATCTTTTTTCAGTATTTTTTTAAATTTAAAATTTCCACGAGGAACTAGTTTTCAGTAAGACAAACTAGTAAAACAAACAAAGCTATTTCTGGTATTGCAATATGCAAAGTGGCGACCAAAAAATTTGCTAAAGAAATTTACTGCCTTTTAAGACGCAAAGTGAAAAGATTAAGTTGGATCTTATGGAGGCCAGAAACAAGAAAGAAACGGCCAAGTTCTGCGGAAATATCATGGTGAGAAAGACCAGAAGAAGAAGTTTCCTCGCCAAATCTATGTTTCAAGGTGTGTTTGGAGTCCTCACCGAAGTCGCTTTTGAGTATTATAACAGCTCGGCACAATGGGTGAGTTTTGTAGACTGTTAATCATAATTGCCTTAATGTGCTTTTAACTGTCAGTACCAAATGTCGTAAGCTCATGAACTGATGAATAGAAATTATCCAGAATCGTGGACTGCATTTAGTAGGTCGTTCATATATGCACAAGCATTGGATCGTTTCTGCTGGAACGAAATTCATTTTGAGCACTAGCTAAAAGTTGATTCACACTGATATGTAAATCTTTGAATTTAACTGGATGGATGGGATAACGCGAAGCGCCGATCCGTAAAACGTCCAAAGGCAGTAAAGTGAGCACCAAAAAAACTATCTTATGCTTGAAAATTCACTTTGAATATCATAGCAGCGCAGGATATTTCCATCTCAGAAAAAAGGCTAAAAATCAACGTTTTAGTGAGAGTAATTTAAGAGTGGTTAAAATAGTATCCGTGCCTTCACAAGCAATTCTCGATTCAGTGTGTTTGATACAGCCAGCTACGTCACATGCTCAGACAAGATCAAATGATGGAATATTGTACTCTGTTTGAAATCGATTGAAAGACACAACCTTGAAATAATAACGTTTAATGTCCACTCAGGTTAAAAAAGGGAAAGGGACAGTGGACAGCATAGGAAACGCATCATAATATGCGATAATTGTGCGTGGAACCATCTAGATGGTAATTTAGTTGACAAACGAAACAACTTCAAGACCGATCAATTCACAGCTTTTTCAACTATCCATGCTGATCCAGTGAAGTGGGAAAACATATCGTATTTGGTATGATCACAACTTCATAATCTGACTGTTCCGAGTCCAAATGATCTTGCTGCCATTTGCGTGCTCGCTCATATTGAATTATCAGTTTCCTTTTTTTCCGATATGTGACAAGTCAATCTTTTGGTATGACTGTATTGTTTACATGCATCGTGATGATCTCATCAATATGTTGCCCAGGTTTGTAAGGATATTAATTTTTTGGCGTCTGCACAATAGAGTATCGGCCCGAGAATGAACGGCTGATCGAGGGGGAAATGGACCCGAGAGATGTTTTTTTACAATTTTGCCCGTACACTGCCCAGGAAGACACTCACACAAGAGTAGATACAGGGGCCTGTAGGTCAGCAAGGACTTCAAAGCCAGTTAATTGCAAAATTACCGTAAGATTACAACACCACACCAATTACAAAACACCCTATGACGAAAAACAATCCGTTTCTAAAGAAAGTAAGTACGACATCGCCGGCCGGACACGCAAACCCAAAACCACTTTGTGGAAAAAAAGGAACGTATACTCCCGCCAGCTGCAATCATCTGCGATGCCGACAACTCGGGGGCAGAGGTACACGGAAACTAACGACTGCCAAACGCCTATAAAAAAAACAAAATTGGCAAATAGAATAAATAAAGTTAAGAGCTTGAATGGATGTTGATCTAGACTTATTCGAATTTGCAACTCTTAATTATGCATGGAACCGCAGCGTGGGATCCAGACTCCAAGAGTGTCTTTGATTACCTTATATGGGGCGAGTCATGATCAATTCTCTTGCTCAACCTTTCTCTAAGCAAGAGGAACAGAGTCGGCAGGTCCTGTATTTTCCCGAGTAAACGTATAACGTAATCTTATTAGCATGTTGTTAGCTTGAAAATACTCGTGACTACCAAAGTATGTAAAGTGTACACATTCTTCAACGTCCTTAGACAATTTCTTCCTTTCATAATAAAATTTCTGTTCACAAAACAAACTAACGGGGATGGCATGTGTCATTTTTTCTGACACTACGGTATGTTACATTTAAGTTATTGGCAATATACGACCTAATTTAGTGGCGCAATTTCTACGGATGTGTCTGCACCACTGAAGCCATCGCTTAACAAGACTGTTAAGTATCGACAAATTGATAATGCTTAGCTGGTATACAAAAACTATTTTATGCTCTGAATAATCTTACCGGTTGGATCTTTTTTCAGTATTTTTTTAAATTTAAATTTCCACGAGGAACTAGTTTTCAGTAAGACAAACTAGTAAAACAAACAGAGCTATTTCTGGTATTGCAATATGCAAAGTGGCGACCAAAAAGTTTGCTAAAGAAATTTACTGCCTTTTAAGACGCAAAGTGAAAAGATTAAGTTGGATCTTATGGAGGCCAGAAACAAGAAAGAAACGGCCAAGTTCTGCGGAAATATCATGGTTAGAAAGACCAGAAGAAGAAGTTTCCTCGCCAAATCTATGTTTCAAGGTGTGTTTGGAGTCCTCACTGAAGTCGCTTTTGAGTATTATAACAGCTCGGCACAATGGGTGAGTTTCGTAGACTGTTAATCATAATTGCCTTAATGTGCTTTTAACTGTCAGTACGAAATGTCGTAAGCTCATGAACTGATGAATAGAAATTATCCAGAATCGTGGACTGCATCCAGTAGGTCGTTCATATATGCACAAGCATCGGATCGTTTCTGCTGGAACGAAATTCATTTTGAGCACTAGCTAAAAGTTGATTCACACTGATATGTAAATCTTTGAATTTAACTGGATGGATGGGATAACGCGAAGCGCCGATCCGTAAAACATCCAAAGGCAGTAAAGTGAGCACCAAAAAAACTATCTTATGCTCGAAAATTCACTTTGAATATCACAGCCGCGCAGGATATTTCCATCTCAGAAAAAAGGCTAAAAATCAACGTTTTAGTGAGAGTAATTTAAGAGTGTTTAAAATAGTATCCGTGCCTTCACAAGCAATTCTCGATTCAGTGTGTTTGATACAGCCAGCTACGTCACATGCTCGGGCAAGATCAAATGATGGAATATTGGACTCTGTTTGAAATCGATTGAAAGACACAACCTTGAAATAATAACGTTTAATGTCCACTCAGGTTAAAACATCCCTGGAAGGGACGGTAGACAGCATAGGAAACGCACTATAATATGCGATAATTGTGCGTGGAACCATCTAGATGGTAATTTAGTTGACAAACGAAACAACTTCAAGACCGATCAATTCACAGCTTTTTCAACTATCCATGCTCATCCAGTGAAGTGGGAAAACATATCGTATTTGGTATGATCACAACTTCATAATCTGACTGTTCCGAGTCCAAATGATCTTGCTGCCATTTGCATGCTCGTTCATATTGAATTATCAATTTCCTTTTTTTCCGATATGTGACAAGTCAATCTTTTGGTATGACTGTATTGTTTACTTGCATCGTGATGATCTCATCAATATGTTGCCCAGGTTTGTAAGGATATTAATTTTTTGGCGTCTGCACAATAGAGTATCGGCCTGAGAATGAACGGCTGATCGAGGGGGAAATGGGCCCGAGAGATGTTTTTTCACAATTTTGCCCGTAAACTGCCCAGGAAGACACTCACACAAGAGTAGATACAGGGGCCTGTAGGTCAGCAAGGACTTCAAAGCCAGTTAATTGCAAAATTACCGTAAGATTACAACACTACACCAATTACAAAACACCCTATGACGAAAAACAATCCGTTTCTAAAGAAAGTAAGTACGACATCGCCGGCCGCACACGCAAACCCAAAACCACTTTGTGGAAAAAAAGGAACGTATACTCTCGCCAGCTGCAATCATCTGCGATGAAGACAACTCGGGGGCAGAGGTACACAGAAACTAACGACTGCCAAACGCCTATAAGAAAAACAAAATTGGCAAATAGAATAAATAAAGTTAAGAGCTTGAATGGATGTTGATCTAGACTGATTCGAATTTGCAACTCTTAATTAAACATATCTCAGAAGGCTATCCAAAAGTCCTCATATCCGACCCAGCGTCTCTGGTCTGTGCAGGCCAATAGCTATTTATTTTCTGTCTTTTCGAGAGTTTTTCATAGGCATTGCTTTCGTGTCCCCTTGGGACGAATAAAAGTACCAACTGAAGAAAAACGAATTGAAAACATTTTTTATGTAAAATTTATATGCGGATCAAAAGATAGACAGTCTAACCCCTCGTTACGGATACTTCTATAATATGGACACCTCTCAATTACGGACAGTTCGTTTGGTCCCAGAAATGCCACCTCCCTGTAAAGCAGCTTGAAGCGGACACTTGGTTCTGTCCCTTTGGTGTCCGTATTAAAGAGGTTTGACTGTATCAGTGGGAAACGTGATACTGTCGAATTTGTAATTAATTGAATACCGTAAACTGCCACTGCTAAGCCCTGAGCTTATGGGGAGGGAAGGTGTATAAGTGTGGGGGGATCTTATATCCGGGGAGCTTATAACAGGATGTATTTTTTGTTTACAGAGGGGCTTATAAGTAGGGGGGGGGGCGCTTATAAGCGATAGTTTACGGTACACCTCTTTTGATCATACTACGTCCGTTAACGTCCTCTCCTGTCCTCATGAAATGCATCCATTTTAACCAAGCGTGCGGATGGATAGGCCCACCCAGGTAATCTTTTCTTTTCTTATCTCTTAAAACGAAATTAAGTTTTGAGAGAAGTGCGTTTCCATAAGCAACCGTACAGAGGCGGGGGAAGGAAACTTTGCAAATTACGGTTTAAGTTGGTTTAGCCTGCTAATACAGCAGTGTCTCTCCCCGCTCCTAACCACTGAGGTACGTCTCAGTCTTGAGAGACCGTGAAACGCTCCAGAGAGACAGCTGTATTTGTAGACTGACATTGCTTTGCTCAGAAAGAAGAAGGTAAACCCTTTGGTCAAGTCACTGACAATCTCTGTGTTTAAATCATTTCTCAGACAAAAGGAGAAAAACCAGATTTTACCATTGAAGTAATAGATATTCAGTCTGTTGAAGAAGTGGATGATAGTGCGTTTAGCCAGGAGCTTTGTTTTCAGGTATTTTTGCTGTGTGAAGCGCCCCCTCTTTTTGTAAGGACATGCGAACAGTCAGACTTCTCGTTCTATAGCCGTGGCGGATCCAGGGGAGGGGCCCGGGGGGCCCGGCCCCCGTTATTTTTTGACCAAATTGAGGCCCGACGGGCCGAAAAAAATTTTTTTTTTTGAGGCCACCCCTTCCTTATCTCAGGGTCTGGATGACCGCCCCCACCCCCCGCCTCCCGTCCCCTGTTATCTGAAGGTCTGGATCCGCCACTGTAAAGCGGTTAAGATTCGTGTAGCGTTGTCTCTTTGTTAAAACTACGTTTTATCAAAACCTCCTCTTGTCACAAGCGCCCAAGTTTGGTGACCATCATATGGTATTGTCAGTCCCCTCTTTTAGGATTATTATTACTATATTTTTATTCATTCATTTCTTCTTTTTTCTCTTTTTTGGAAATATTAGCTTGTATAGCTACTCTGTAAATTCGAGGATAACTAAACGTGATGTTATCTTATGTTATGTAAGGGATATGAAGTCTCATGTATAAGCAAGAAGCCGTGACATTTTTAATGCAAAAATGGGAATCTCTCGCACTTTTTTATGCTCACACTAAATCAAACTTACTTCCGAAAATAGAAAGAAAAATAAAAGAAAAATAAAATGAAAAAAAAATGGCAGAAAAGAAATAGCAAACTTAATACCTATTCGGCACTTCTCACGCATAGTTATTTTAACTTTGACAGAGAATTTGATACAATCCAAGATGGCGACTAAGATGGGCACCATTTTTTATGACGTCACGAACTAAGTCTCTCATTTTTCCGGTACACCTCGCCTGCTAGCCTGTGAAAACAGCCGTGTCTCCTTGCTCCTCGCCGCTTGGGAAGTTTCGCTGGAAAAACGAAACGCCCCTTACGGCGAAGAATGAGGAGAGACGGCTGTATTTGCAGACTACGATAGACCTGGGGAGTGTTCAGTTAAACCCGGATTTTTATCTCTGCTCACGATTCCCTTTACAGATAGCTTACCATAGTCGGACAAAGAAGGACAACTCAAACTGTCGCACAGTTTATCTGTCTGCATATGAAGTAGAAGAGTTTGAGTCTTGGTTGTGTTCACTGAGACTATGTAAGTAAGAAGGTGTAGAACCTTTCTTAATCTTTCTTGTGAGAATGAGTTTTATTTGCATAAGAATTAAAAAAATCATTTTCAAATCAGTGGCTTCGCACTAAGGCTCGCTTTGAAACAAAAGCTTAAGGCAACTGAAATAGCCTATTATAAGGGAACTTAAGCAAAGACCTGTTTGAGCAACGTACGTCAACCGGAAGTGAAGCCTTCTCCATTATTTATATGGCTTGACGATAATAAATTTCTGTCTTTTCTCATATAAAGGCGATTCGCCCGAGAGTTTGAACCAAACCACTGCCCAAGAATGTAAAAAGTCCAGTTCCGGTTGACGTGTGTCGCTCAAAAACATCTTTGCTTAAGCTCCATAAAGAAGGCGAGAAAGCACAACAACCTCATCCCCATGGCTTTTCTGGCCCCTTCCATTTTCTGAGGGAAGAGCCCTGGAGACGAGGTTGACATCCTAGCAGTGACTCAACCACGGGCCACAACCATTTCCCTTGATGTTATCTTTCGCAAACCAGGGCTTTTGTTACATAAACGTTTATAAGAATGATCGTTTCCTATATTAAAGCTTATACAATTCGTTCATTTTAATGGTATGCCCTCACTAAAACTCTGTAATCTAATTTCTAGCTTGTTTAGAAAACCCCGTGAGCCTAACTCAATATCACTCAGGAAGGTTTACCGGCAAGTCCTGGTCATGTTGTAAAGCTGTTACGTTCCGGAACTCTCCCGGATGTAAGCCATGTAAAATTTATGGTAAGTAAACAACTGTAGCGACACTGTAATTTTTCACAAAGCCATTTCACGTTATCTTTTATTTATACTCAAAAATGAGTATTTTTTTTATTATTGTCATTTAAAATTAGTGGGACTTTGTAAGTACAGTACGGTGGCATCTGGATAGTTTTGTAACTTCCAGTAAATGAATGGTGGTGGTGGTGGTGGTTGTGCCCATGTATATCATCTAAACAATTATATTGGATGAGGTTTTTGAAATATCCGGAATAATCGAGATGCGAGGCAAGTGCTATCCGCCGAGGCCGAAGATTGGAGTTATAATACTGTTACATTGTTATAAAGAAAACACCTATATTTACACACATGGCATAACATTTCTTTATTATCGATTTCCCTTATTTAGGTATTCCAGATATTAAAAGGCACAAGGTACTGTTCGTTTAAAGGGATTTAATTAATGTACGGGATAACTACAAAACAGCACTGAATCTTATTCTTAATATTATTACGAAATGAAATCTTTCCCAAAAGCTTTCAGATGTTTACTTATACCTGGAAGTGTCTACCTTAGCCGTGGCTAGGCAGTAAGACTATGGATTGATACTATATTCCTTTCAAAGCATTTAGCCATTAAAGGATTTCCAAATTTATCAAAATAAAAATAGTAAAAAAACACTAGCATTATTGATCTCGTGCTTTGTTTTCTTCAGTTATCACTTGCTATCGCTTTTAGCGGTTTTGGTGTAGTCGCTAGTGAATCGCATTACTCAGACATGCCTGGAAGCCTTCCCTTTAATAAGGTAAGAGCAATATCCACGTTAAAACAAACATCTCTTTTTAATAATGTGTAGTTTACTTTATCGTATTCAAGCCTTCCGTGTACGCGGAAAGGTTTACGGCTGTAGGTGATTTGGGCAGTGACCAATAGCCTTTTATAAGTTTTAAATCACGAAAGAAGTCAACAGCACTCTCCATGTACCATTGCGGTGAGTTACGGGTTATATAGCTTGTTCATCATAATCAGAGGTGAAAATGATCGGGTCAGTTAATATAGTCTTGAGTGGAGTGTCTTGCCAAGTAGCCAGTCTTACTTTGGTAGCACGTATGACTACCAATTGTTTCTTGACAGGAGCCGGCATCAATATTGGGCTCCTAAATCTTGACAAATGTCCACGTAGTTTATAACATTACCTGCGACAACAATGATTTCGGGCCCTTGTACTGAGGGAATGACATTGAGTGTTTCATAACCCCTTAGTGTTTGCTTGACGCCAAGTGTCCTTTCGAGTCCTCACCCTGGAGTCCTTGTCTAGTCGTTTAAACCACGTTACCACGTCTGTTTTATAACAAAGCGACTTGTCAAGGAAACCTTGCTAGTTCACCGACATCATAACACACTGCCTCCTACTCAGGCACTATCGCACCTTGGTCGCAAACAAGGACTTGCGCGAAGAAACGCGAGTGGTCACAGGTTGCAGCGTGATGTTGTTGGTTCTCGCTCTTACGTACCCTAAGGTGGTTTTTCTCCTATTGCTTCAGTTCACCTTCTCCGCCTAATCCTCCAAAATTAGTTTAAGTGACTACTACTTATTGAAGTTGTCTCCTTTTACTTTGGAAGGGTGATCATCTGACCGTCTCAGATGCTTCTGGCAGTGTCGAATGGAAGGCATTTTCCACAACTTCGTAAGTAATTTTCGTTTTTAGCACGCGTTCTCACCCGCCTGGGGCTAGTATAGGAAGGCATAGCTTTATATCGTCGATCTCCCTCCCCGTCCCCCCCCCACCCAATCAATGGTTAAGATTATAACAGTAATAGTACTGAGTGGAGTCATATGAAAGATTAACAAAATCAGTCCACCATACTGCGGGACTCCTATTTGTTTAATCAGAAGTGCGATTAGAGGCCCAAATGAACGACACGAAGTTCTGTCACGAATTAACCGTAACTACCACAAAGTTCACTGATCTGTGATCTGATTGGCTGTCTGCAGCCCTGATTTCGGTATCTCTCTCTATGTAATATATAGCTAGTAAAACAAGATATTACTAGGGTATCTAAAAGATAGTAATGCTGCGGCACATTCTGTTGATACTGGCATTAGTTAGGCAGTGAGACTTAAAAGAATCGAAAATGACATTGAATGTCCTATTTACATGTTGGAAAGTACTAGAATAATTACCATCAGTCTATAGAAAGAACTGGTGGGAACGTTGTTTAGAAAATGATCAAGTGGTTATAACTCTGGTTTTCCCACAGTAAATTGTAGGAAATAATAGAAATTCAGATTGTTTATCCATATATTTAATATACGGTGCACGATATTTTCTCCGGAAACACAATACTTTTCTTGCTGTTTGTTGCACTTTATTAAGAAAGAGTTATTTAGCTAACACAAAAAACGGAAAAAAAAAGAAAAAAGGACTTATGAATTCAGTAGGACTCGAACCCTGCAAATTCGGCTCGACGCGACTACACCTAACCACTACACCACAGAGGCTGATTACGTAATTTTGAGGAAAAGTCTTTCATTTTATTCCTTTTCCATGAAACTTCCGCCGGCACGATGATCGCCAGCCGCATTAACCGAGCTATTAACAGTGAAAAAATAATGTACACTCATATTCCATGGCAATGAATGAATGAAAGAACATAATTATGCTTTTCAAAACGCCGATACACGTCCTCGTCTGCAAAGTAGGACACAAGACATATGTTTTGTTACCTCGATTTCCGCTGTTATTTTGAAGCGAATGGTCAAAATCACATCCATTTTCGGCTCATACAGTTTCTTAAGAATAGCACTGCATGACATTTTCTGACTTTCACATCACCTTCCAGCAAACTGGAATTTGTATATCCCCCGTGTTGCGGAGTCGAAGAGCAAATGCTCATCTTCTCGTCAGGTTTAACACCTGGACGAGTCAAAGGTTCTTGAATTGAAATCCAATCCCCAAGTTAACCATTGTACTCATATGAAAGACTCCTGCGTGTCTTAAAATTTGGTAAGACCTCTAACCGTGCTGTAGAAAATTTGGCACAAAAAATACTCTGAGCAGCGAACGATGCACTCTCTCACCCACCGAACTTCCCCATGTTTTTATTTGAGTTGTTCGTGGCGCAATGCACTCTGGTTAAATGCAATGCATTGTGGTAAAAAGTGTGGTTAAATGCAATGCATTGTGGTAAAAAGTGATGAATTCGAGAATTCGTCGCCCCTTATATATTTCCTTTAAATCCTGATTATGCTGCTGCTCGCTCCCTTCGGTCGCTCCGCAGCAATAAAATAAAAGTATTCTAATAGACTGTAAAGAGAAGCAAATACGGCTGCACAAAATAATAAAACATAAAATGAAAACAGTTTTTAGGAGTAAATGGTGTGACTTACATTTTCATAGGACGAGTGGATATGGTTACATTCCAAAGGATGCAGTGAATCTAAAGGAACTTCACGAAGAACCGTAAGTGCAAGATACATTCGGTTAGTTTTTTGTGAAGTAAAATTCTTGCTACTTTGGTGTTTCTTTCAATTGCATATTATATGTACCCCGGATTGCGCTAAGTCGGAATGTCTTTTTTACATCAATTGTAACCGTAAAAAATCTTAACTGTGCTGACAGTCAGATCAATACAGATGGAAGAATAAAGAGTAAGTTATTGAGACAACCTTCTTTGTTAACAGAATTATTGAGACCACTTCCCAGATACTATATGCCTCATCTACTTTAAGGGCGTGATGTAAGCAGGAATTATTTCTTCTGCTATTGCAAGGGGTATTCTAGTCTGTTAGTTGTTTCTTCTTCTCACTTATACTTATAAAGCAAGACGCAATGTTACAACTCTAGAAAGTGATTTCAAGAATTGACCTATAAGTAAGGGAACGCCGAGTAAGAAATTTCTACTACAATGGAAAGGTGTAAAATGTGGCAATTGCCTTAACTACATGTACAGTTACAGATCGTTACAATTCGCAGAGATTCTACCCTGATGTACTTGCTTTCTTTGTGCAGTATTTCCTAATAAGTCTTTAGCGAGTAAATTCGCCACAAAATATAACCTGGGTAGTTGGCGGAGAGAGTTTTGAGAGTTTTGGCGGCACTGGCGGCTTTGCAGCTAATCTGCCAAAACTTTGATCGCCTGACCCCCGGCTACTCAGGCTACAGGAAATAATAAGGGTAGGGTAAATGAATGATAGATCGGAAAGGACAGATAATTATACTAGTTATCAGTGATGTTTGCGATGGTCTATGACGCTAATTGTTCAACCTACTTCACAGATGGTTTTTTGAAGAAATTCCCACCTCCGTCACAGCGGCAATTCTTAGAGACCAGGTAAACTTATTTTAACTTTACAATACTCCAATTCAACACCAAAAATACTTTTTTATGAATTATTGCAAATAACCACACCAAAGCGTCACCAATGTAACATCCTCCTTGGAAAGAATAGTCCCTCGTCTATCGTGGCGATTTCTTCGATTTACGTGCATTTATTTATAAAGGCGCTTGCGCGCAGTCCACTTCGCCACCTTCTACTACGCATACATCCCAGACTCCTAAAGACACACGATTGGGTCTCCCCACGTCGAGACAGTCTTGGATTCTAGATTCCACACCGTGGATTCCGGATTCTTTGTTAGTGGACTTAGACTCCTGATTCTAATCGTTAGTGGGATTTCGGATTCAACAAGCAAACATTTTCTGGATTCCGGAATCCGAGTTCCCTTACTATGGGGCGAAAAGGGCTTTGGGAGACGGAAATTGACCATAACAACAAACCATAAGCCATCGTACTTATAAGACATGGTACAAAAACAACGGAGGTGATGCTAACATAGGCCGACTGTTCGCCCGAAGGCAATTCAGTTCAATTCGTCGCATTTTCAATTCAATAACTTTACGATTAAACAAAGTTCGACCTACTTTGGTACTCTTGAAAAGTTATTGTACTTGACCAATTTTACCTTTTTCTTTCTACATTACTTTTATCTCGTGCTTTTCGATAGGTGGCAGGTTGTTTCATCTTGCGGACGAGTGGATTAGGCTCTAAAATAATTCTATCTTTTAGGTGAGCAGTTACAAACCCTTTGCACAATAAAAGTACAACAGATAGGTTACATGTAATTTAAACCCTTTAGCGAGACAGAAATCCCTCAGACACTTTTCTGCCAAATTAGGCGAATGACACTAGTTGGTATGGTTACATGATTTGTTAAACTTCAAACCTTTTTTTTCACTTTGGCAATCCTCTTGTCGCCATGACAAAAAAGAATTTCAAAGGAACCTTCGTGACGAAAATTGTTGTATCACTGGTAAACAGATAAACACATTAAAGTCACACTGTAGGTTATAATTGTTAAGGTATAGATAGTAACGTGAATAACAATCAATGGTATAACGAAAGCAACTATGGAAGCAATTGCTCGTGTGTTGCTTTTGCAGGACGGACAAAACAGTTAAACATATTGAAGTTCTTCAAGATGAAGCAACCCAAAAGTACCGTGTGAAAGATGAGTCAGATGCGGTTTCGTATGCAAATTTTTTGCAGTTTGACAGCATACAACAATTACTGGATCAGTGTAAACAACATCCCAGTAAGATGCGCTAATTTAGCTATTAAGGCTGGTTGTCGGAGTGATCGGAGTCGTATAAGAGCGCTATTTGAAATTAAAAAAAATATATGATAAGATCGACGGAAATCGGAGTCTGAGGAATCGATCCCCTTCGCTTAATAATTTAATAATTTTGCTCTCGCCCGGTAAGGACGCTTCCGCCAGCGCTCCGCGTTCTCGCTTTTATGTGTCTGACGTGAGGCTAATTTAGATCATTTCGTTTTTCGTTGACTAATAGGAGACGAAGTTTATCAGTAGTATCTAGTCATTATGTCAATTCTAGCTCTTTTTAGATCTCTTGTTACTTTTAGTTGCATTTATTTCCTGAAAACACGACCCACCTAGATTAGCATAGCTACCCGCGGGCAAGTTACATTATGATCTAACGCCACCCACTAGATGTATACAGACACCCACAGACAACCTGATAAAGAAGCCTCAAAGTGATCCTAGAGATATACATCACAGACATATTTTGTATTGATCAAGAAAATTTTAAGTTCAATGTTAAATAAACTTAATCACTAATATCACTAAATACATGTAAATGTCTCGTGGAATTCAATAGTAATAATCAAAATATATTATTGTTGCAGCTCTTGGGATAACATTGGAGAAATACCCAACGCTCAAGAATGCCGATGGTATGGAATTTTGTTCTACATACCACTCTTCATTCAAAGATAAAATATACGCCTATGAAGAGAAGTACGCAGACTTCTGTGAAGGAAAATGACTCCCATTAAATTGACTGAATTGTCGACGCTTGTTATTGTATAAATTTAAACTACGTTACAGTTACAATTATACAATTGTACAGTTATATAGTTACAGCTTCTACTGTTATACAAAAGTTCGAACAATTAAAAATGGAATATCCTGCGTCCTTCACATGAAGGCTCTGCTGTGCATGACGACAAAGGAAGCAAAAGCCTGAAGCATCCAAAGTAGACACGACGGTTGTTAATTTAGTCTTTTTAATTAATCCTTTTTAGAAATCTGGAGGGTGGATTGGCCAGAAGTTGAAAAAACAGGCGAGGTTGTGTCTAGTCTACCTTGGGTAAGAAATTAAAGAATATTTGTGTAGAAGCTTTAACAAACACTAGAAAGAGTTTTTCCTAGAGTGTTTTTCAGTGAGAAAACAACGATGGGAAAAGCTATCTCCCACAAAGAGGTCTTATTACCATAAATCTAATTTTTCCGACTTGCCGTTCCTTTTCTTATCAAAAAATTATCCATTATCCGCGAAGCTGTTATCATATACTCGACGCATTGATTTATCCAAAATTCAAACGCTTCGAAGTAGTCATACACGCTTTTGACAAGTAATATTATTTGGCAATCCGCTCTAAACTGGCCACCTTGGGAACGGAGGTAAGGTGCAGTGAGTACATCAATTTGGAGAGGATTTTTTTGGCAGTTGGAACGCACTCACTGGCCTTTGTTGCCATGTAAAGACACCTGTTATAGAGAGAAAAAAACAAAGAAGAAAGTACGCTCTGTCCACTTGGACATGGACAGAACTGAAGAAGTGGACTTTAGTAGAAGTTCCGCCGACTGTCTTGCAGTAATAATAGTTAGAAATTGTATCAAGTTCTTGGCCGACGAACGAACATCTCTATTCGACCTTGTAGAACGTTTTTACTGGCAAGTTTCACAACAAAGAAGCGTTAATCCACGTTCTACCAGAGGGAAGCTCGGACATACTCAAAGAGAAATTCAGCAACCAGGCAAGGTTAATGATGTGAGTACAAATAATTAACTGATTGCAAGCAATTCTTTAGCAGGGATGATGCACCGGGAGAAAGAATTCACATTCTTTTGTTAAAAATCAAACAAAAACAAAATTTACAAGAATGCTAAAAAATATGCAATTTACATTTAGTTTAATAAACCTCCTGTAACGCCTTTGGTTTTTTTTTTAAAGATTTTCATTTAATTTTCCGCGTATGGACGAGTGTCTGCATCACAACGAATTTCGACTTCTTTATTTCCTTTTCAAGTGTACAGTTTAATTTGCAGTACACGCAATGTTCCGATCGGACTTTCCGTTAGGATAAATTTGAGTCCAAATCACATTTTTCTTGAAGTGTAGCTATAGGCGGTGTCCATTGCGGGTTATTTATATTTTTTGTTTATTTCACAGGACATTAGGCCATGAAAACATGGTGCGCTTGCACGGGATTGGAGTAAAAGGACCTCGAAGCTTTATTGTTCACGAAAACATGCAAAATGGTACAACCTTCAAAAAACTTATTTAGCTTTAGTGAAGCTACTGAACACCTTATACATAGAAAACAGAGTTTGACCATTAGTTCTTAGAGACTATAATGTTAAGTTGGCCAAGCTGCTGACAAAACAGTCAAGAAAAAAAGGCTATTGCGCCAATACGCAAAAGCAACTCAAACGTTTTTCTATTCCTTTTTTGACACATCAGGTGACCTTTCAGAATATCTGAAACGAAACTCCTCCATACTGGAGTCCAACCACACAGAGTTAGGAAATATTCTAAACCACGTGATCAATGGTATGGTTTACCTTCACGAGTCTTTAGTGGAACACGGAGAATTGGTAAGTACTTTGGGCAAGTGGGATTCGCCCAGATGTTGTAGATAAGATTCAACGGTTCTAGTTCTATCTTGCAAAACAAACTTTTGTCCTTCAAAGTTTGTAAAAGGTGTCACGAAATTAAATGAAGTGCTGGTCGATATGACCATTGACAGTGACATTCCTTTCTTACCTTTTTTTCACCCTATAAAATTTAATTTCTTCTATTACACGTAGGTACCTGAGAACTGTCTTGTGGGCGAGAAGGGACAAGTAAAGATCTCAGGCTTTCATTGTGCGAGGTGAGAAAAAAAGAAGAAACAACTACAAATACTTAAAATTAAACCGCGGCTTAAGTTAGACTTCGTTTAATATTTGGCCCTAAGAGTTTGACATAATGATAGCATTTTTACTTGTCTGAAAGTATATTATCGGAGGAACGAATACCTTTAGCTACAGCTTTTCCAGTGAATATAATGTTGATTAATGCTGCATTCACATTTCATCTATTTTGCTTCGCGAGTATCGATAAAAAAAATAGGATAGTGACCTAATTCTTCAACCAAAGGGAATAATCTATAGGCGAACAGACTTCGAACTACTGAACCACAGACACAATTCAGGTAGCGCAAGGCCACTAAACTTGTGCTCTAGAATTGCAATCTAAGTGCTTATTTGTTGCTTAATAAGGATACTGTGAGGAAGCGAAATAAGAAAGAGATCGGTTTTTACCATACACAGGTCTCCATGGTGCAAACGACCGTTATCGGATGACGTTTATAAGAGTAGAATTCCGATTACAGCTCCTGAGTGCAGCCAAAGTATCCAAACGTTCCCAGCTGATGTATGGGCATACGGTAAGCTCGCAATTAACATGCATTATCATTCATTCAAAATATTTTTTCATTTCTGATTGGCTAAAGGCACGCCTTCGGCCTCGGTGGATAACACCCTACTAGATCTGCAGAATTCTTCACATCCTACTTAGCCCCATTCAACAATTGCTAAATGTGTATGAATTTTACTATGGTTCGTTCGTCGATGAGTGGTGGCATGACACACCAATTGCCCCATGTAAGGGAATCTATAAAGACAGTCATGGATTCTGCATTCCACGCCGTAGGACTCCTGATTCCAGGTACTTGATTCCAGTCTTTGTCAGTGGAACTTAGATTTTGGATTCGAATCTTTAGTAGGATTCCGGATTCCTTGAGCTTTATTCCGGATTCCAAAGCCCAGGATTCCTCAAGCAAATATTTCACAGATTCAGGAATCAGGATTCCCTTTCATGGGACGACACCAATCAGGTTTTGCGGGATTCACAGAATGGCCCAAAAGGTTTCGGTGACGGGTTATCACCCATCTTGTCGTTAAAAGGTTTTTGATAACAAAGAAAAAGGCCAAAATATATCAGTTAGAAAACGTTCATTTTACAGTGTTTCAAACGAGGAAAGTGCTACGTCCAAGTCCACCGACTTAAACTAAGCCCTACCACCTTTTAAGGTATTTCAAGATTCTATGGTGGTCACTGCAATTCGAGGTTTTTTTTTCCTTTTCAGGCTTCTTCATTTACGCTGTCGTTACTGTAGGGAAACAACCAATCACAACCTTAGACCAGGTAAGGCAAAGAATACACAAACTCGCACTGTGGATGTTATCAGTTCCTTTAGGTCAACAAATATTGACGCCTCCAACAGCTTAATATAAACTTTGTTTTCCCCTTTTAGGTTTTGAAGTTTAATCCATCAAACGATTCATTGGATCAGCTGGCTGGCTTTGTTGACAAGATTAAACTGTGCTTACAGAGGGTGCGTTTAACATTTCAAGTCAATGCAGATGAACACTTTTACTCTGTTACTACATGTTAACCAATAATGCGGGCATAGCTATATGCTGAGTTTTCAGTTCAATAAACTTACAGAGATGGGTACCGCATTTGTATCATAAGTACTGTACAGCAACAGCAAGCTGGTGTATAACACAAGAGGTGCTTATGTGAAAAGTAGCGAATTTTTTAATTTACTCTTTTTCATTTTTGGAATCATAATGATAACGATAATCATGACTCTTAATATGACGATAATGATTAGATCGTTTCTTTTAAGGATCCTAATGCCCGTCCTACTTTTCAAGATCTTCGAGACCAGGTATCCTTGAAAACTGGCTCATCAACTCCAAGCTGCTCTACACATTCTCTGGAAGGTATGGCAAGGTTTACGAAAAGATGTGGCATATTTTATCGCTTCTAGACTAAGTTCGGATTAAAGGGACACGGTCAGCTATGGGACCGCCCTGACCTGGACACTACATTTGTCAGTTTGAAAAGAGTTTACCTCAACCCGAAATCAAATGAACGCGTCGGCTACATCTAGAAATCCGCTTCAATCTTGCCTAGTGTTTCATTCGATCCTCGATCTTTTACAGATAACCTGTTTTTGAGCAAACTTTAACTCATCCTATTTATCATATTTTGTTAAAAACAGTATCCAAAGGAACAAGAACAGAAGAGGTGAGAAACGCGTAGGCGCCGGCCGGGAGAAATCGCTTCTTTACCAAAATAACAAAAGAAATGAATCAACAACATTGGTGAACAAGTTATATGTATTTGGAAAATCGATGGTAAAGGTTACATATGTTTGGAAAATCAAGCTTTCCCGACCTTGAACCTTCAACAATGATTCATGCCGACTCCGTGTCATTTCTCACCTCTGCTGATGATCGAATTCAGAAGTATTCGTCGATGTTTGGCTTTCCCTGGAAAACAAATCGGTGAATTCTCAATGGTATATCAAAAATGTGTTCTCTGATGTGGCTTAGGGTCTATAATCATTATTTGGGCTTGTAACCAGTTCAACTCTTCAAGGTTTGTTTTGAGTATTCCGGATACGCTTCTGGCTTTCTGTTTCACGTGCGTGTCTTGTGACATACAATTCAGCTAAGAAATGGTATCAAACGGCATGTGCATCAGCTGACCGTGTTCCTTTAAGATTAGCCTTGCTTGAGAATGAAAAGATTCACCACTAACGCAACTCTCATAATACAGTTTGCCTGCTCCCCAAACAGTTTGTATAACCCTTGGTTTTTAATTTCCCCTGGGTATTACAGTCGTCCCACTCTCTCCTCCGCAGAGGCTCCCGCTGGGTATCCCAATAAAAACAGCAATAATGGAAAAATAGAAAGCCCCCGGGGGACGATGGGAAGAGGGAAAAGGCGGGAGCCTCTCTTCTCTCGATGTTTCCCCTTTCCATCGTGCCCCGCGCGCTTTCTATTTGTTTCTCCCAGCTTCCCTGCGACACAAAGAGGCCTCTGCGGAGAAGACAGGTCGTCCCAAGAAACATCTAAGACAATACTTTGCAAAATAGCTGCTTAACGTTTTTAATTAATTGCCAGATTCACTAAACGCTCAGACTTTGACAGAGGATGGGTTTCCAAGTTACCCTACCAAAACGATGACAAGAATGACAAAAGAATCAAATGCAGAAGAATCAATGGAGGATGACAACGTAGCCATGGACTGGGACAACAGCGATATAACAGTTACCTATTCCCGGGATGAGCTTCGAAGGCGCCTTAAGGATGCAGAATTAACAGCATTAAGGGCAAAGGCGTTGCAGAAACGTGCTGAAGCTGTGAAGGATACAATCCTTGAACAAGTAGCAGAGGCAGAGGCAAAGTGTTTGAAAGAAGTCGAGATGATGACAAAGACGTTCCTTATGCGACTGAACGAGGCCAATGATCGTGCAGCGGAGGCTGAACAGGCTCAATACTTAGCGGAAGAAGTGCGGCGGCTAACGGAAGAGAAGTATACGCTCTATAAGTATGAAAGTGAGAAGAATATGCATGAACTAAAGTCCATGTTTGACGATGCTCTGCTTGAAAGGGATGAGCTCATTGTAGCTTTGAAAACTGTGGGCAAGGACTTCGATACGGCAGAGTGGATCTCGCCAAAACGTCGGGACTCAATCCGCCAGCTCGAGGAAAAGTATCAACGATACATCTCTACTAGTGATCGAACGATACAGAGTTTGAAAACACAACTGAATGGAGTTGTAAAGCAGCGAGATCAACTAGCGTCCGATCGAGAAGTAATTAGAAACGAGATGAAAGATACTCGAGACGCTTTGGAACAGGCGGTAAAGGACAAAGAAGAGTTTCAGTTCAGATTAGAAGAATCACAGTTTGAGATTGAGCGACTGGAAGAAATGATATCCACCATGACGCAAAAAAGACAACAAGCAGAGCGCGAGAGAGACCAGCTTCAGATGTTGACGGACATGTCCTTAATGAAGCTTAGGCACGCGGAATCTGGAGGTCCAAAGAAAAGAGCATCCGTTAGTTCCTTTCCTCCAAAGATTGATGAGCTTCCAAAAGAAAAGCGAGAACCAAGCCTGAGAAGACTTTCTGAGCAGCTTCTTCATCTAATTGGCCCCTCGCCAACTGAAAAGCTCTCCACGTCGGTTGTAAGCGAAAACCGGGAAAGTGCCGTCCCCATTCTTAAGGATCCTTCTTCCAGTAAATCGCGCGAGGACGGCAACAAAAAGACAAAGCAAGAAATTACTAATAGAAGGTTAAATGCCGTGAAACTGCCCTTCCTGGAAAAAGTCAACGAAACTATAGAAAACAATCATGAAACTGAGCCGTTTAACCAGTTCGTTCTTGCTGAGGAGATCGACACAGACGAAAGAGAATATGGGCATGTGTCTCCGATGAAGAGTTCAAAAACAGTAATAAGTGCAGATCTTGACATCATTCAGAAGGATAACCAGATGGATAACTCTATTGACTCTGGAAGCCAAACCAGAAATGACGCAAGACAGTTCACGATTCCGACCTTGCACATTGAAGAAGCGGATACCGATTCAGAGATGGAGTCTCAAAGGGAACCTCCCGAAATAGAAATATCAGATGTTGATGAGCATGACCTGTTAGAGCAAAGGGATGAGGGAGATGACCTCATGAACCCAGATTCCCCAATGTTCATTGTGGGAGGCGAAAATGGTGAAACTCGAATTGTATACAGTTTTGACGACCTTTCAGAACTGCTAGAAGGTATCCCTCAAACAAGTCTATAGTGTAGTGACGTAGTACTGAACAGATAAACCATTTTAGATGGATAATAAAGTCGTTTCACGGCCTTTAAAGCAAAAATTTATCGATCGGAACCTTTAGTTCTTTAGGAGTGTTCCACTTTTTAGCTAATCCTTACATCTACATAACCTGTTATGTCGATGCTAGTCCGGGTGCAGAGGTAGATCACCTTCCGCCATTTTAAAAAAAAAAAAAAACACTGCCAGGAACATTTTTAGACTACTATTTCTCTCAAGAAGGATCAGACATCACCAAACAGCCCGCACTGCTGTGGAGTGCTTGGCCTGTACTAAATTAATTTTTAGAAAGAAAACCGCTAACTAGTAAAGCAGACTGAAAGGACCTCTCTGCGAGCAATAGCAGAATTGAAAGTACTCAAATAATGAGCCTTCTCAGTCGACTTTTTTAAAGGAGCATATCACGATAGCAACAGTTATGCATCACTATTTGTCACTTCTGGAGTAACCTTGTCGCAACGCAGTAACGTATCACTAACAGTTGTTTTACCTTGCTGATATCTAATTTCTAAATAAAAGCTTTTGCCCATGGAAACTTTTCAGAGAAGTTTCATGTATTTTCGATACCGGCCCCTCCCCATGCAGTCCTTTAAAATGACTTCTGTTCCACGAATTTGTTAACCGGCCATCGGCAAAAAAAGAAAAAAACAAACAAACAAACAAGCAAGCAAGCAAGCAATAAAACAAGATAAAATAATAAAAAATATACCCTACCACTGACAACACCCATAAAATAATAACTTTTTAATCCTCTTAGTGGTTGTCATATTTACTAACACATTGTTCAACAGAAAACCTTAGGCAAATCATCATCTTTCTTGCTGTTATTGTAATAGGTTCCGTAGAAACAAAAATATAATTGAATAAAAAAATTACAAAATAATAATAAAATAAATGTAATTCTGCTACACTTAAAACTATAATCGGATTCACTAAAAGTAACTAAAATTAATATTGATATTAACAACGAAATTCTAATTATAGATAATAAACTACAACAAAATGTTAATAATTACAAATTAATTTGCAATTTCCAAGCTGAAACTGATTGGTATTTCCTATAATATAATAGTGCTGCGCTTCACATGGATACTTGGAGTGCACTGCACTGCTCTAGAACGGCAGTATATAACCGGAAAATTAACAAATAAGTAATTGGCTCGTCACGCAATCCTTCGTGACGAAGCACTAAGAGCCTGCGCGTGGTAGGCTATACAAGAGGGGTATCTGCACTCGACGGGGAAGACAACATGCACTACTGCCTGCACCTGTTACCGCAATGTCGCACGTCGTATTCGTACAAAGGATGCGTGCACATCACTTTTCCAGTTATATCTCCTCGGACACCATTTCCAGTCTTAAAAGGTACTCTTGTTTAAGTGACAATACTTAACAGCCAGAATTGAGTGCCCCACAGCTGGATGCTGCAGTGCCGTGCTAAGCCTTGATACAGAAAATGCATACACAAATCATTTTTGTAGTTATATCTTGTCGGACGCCACTTCCCACCTTAAAAAGTACTGATGTTCATGTGACAATACTTCGCAGCTAGGTTTGAGTGCATTACAGCTAAATGTGCAGTTCTTGCGCTAAGCGTTGATACAATATTGCACACACAAATAATTTTTTTTCCGGTTATATCTTCTTGGACACCATTTCCCACCTTAAGAAGTACTCTTGTCTACGTGACAATACTTAGCAGCCAGGTTTGAGTGCTTAACAGCTGGATGCTGCAGTGCCTGTGCCAAGCGTTGATAGGTCGCCTTAGATCCCCACTTTTCTGTCCACATCCGTAACACAGCTGCAGTGGTAAAATACGTGTTCTTAGTTAACGTAAAAATATCTGGTGCAGAGCTTCGTTTTTAGCAGAAATCATAAAGATTATTGTTTCTGTTTTATTACATAATCATCATCATCATTATTTTTTCCCCTTGGGGTTTGAGGACGCCTTGTTGACATTAACCGACTCACTTATTAACCGCCTGCAAGCTACTTTTTTTTTCTACTAAACTAAGGCAACGTATCGACATTAGAGCTTATTAAGGCTTCAGCTTATGAAAGCATTTTCAGTAACTGTACCGTGGCATTTGCTGACCATATCACCCTCGTTCTCCTCGATCTGTGCAAGCGTGGCTTCAGTAAGGTGTAATGCTCGGCAGAACATCTTCCAAGAAGCACAAAATTCACCAGCAATATCGAGAAGGTCTTCACTGGATGGCGTGCCAGCCTTAACTGAAGGCGATGAAGGCAAAACTACATAATCTGTGAAAAATAGGAAACAATTCCACTTTTCAGCTTGATAAGCAAGTTACACAGTAATCCCACATGTCCATCCTAGCCTTCGAGAGCAGACGCCGTTTGCAGCTCTTGTTTCAGCCGCAGAGAAAAGAGCTCTTTTCTTCACCCCGACCGTGTAATGGTTGAGCTCGTTAGCCGCAAGGGTGGTGCTACTTGTGAACAATGCATGACTATGAACTAGACAAGGTGCAAGGTGGAAAGTAGGCAAAGTTGGCCGCCAAAACTATTTTCAAAACAATAATAGAAACAACAAAACAAAGAAGGAAAACTAGACAATTTATAAGAGGAGTTATCGTACTAAAAAATGCTGCAGTTCCCAATGACGAGCTAGCGACCCTATGATCCTGTTGACTAAAAAGCGGAATTCCGCGATATAAAGTATTTTCAACGAGGACTCCAGCACTTACCATTACAGGGATCGCTGTGCATGTTACAGTACTTTGCAGCAAGATCTTCTCGTCCCAGTTGTTGGAATGCTTCCGCAAGACTTTGATAAGTTGCAGTGTCTCCACAAGACTCCAACCATTTCTTTAGCATACCTGAAGGGGGATCAAGTTACCTTAACTTTTAAACATGGAAATCAGGAGAAAATATACACCGCAGACGTCTCATATCTACACGCCAGAACTTGGCCTCTCTCTAAATACTTAACTTTGGGTGCGTTTTTTTGGGAGAATCCAAGATCGGATTGGTGATCTCAGATCATACGGATTTTTAACTACTAAAAAAACGGAAGATCCGAAAAAGGATCAATTACCATGACAACGGCATGTCCTCGTGCTCCTCGTGAGAAACAACAACAACAACAACAACGAATTGATCTTCATGGTGAAGACAAGAAGAAAAAGCAACATAAGCTACGAATGAATCGGTTTTAAGGACACAATCAATAAACACATGATTAAACCTCTTACACACCATAACTCTTTTCGATAAGCTTCCCCTCATCCTCTTCAATCTGTCCTAGCTGTGGTTTGTCTAGGTGAAGTGCGCGTCCAAACATTTTCCACGAGGAACCAAGGAAACCAAGGTCGTAAGCAATAAGAAGAAGGTCGTCAGTTGAAGGTTTGCCACATTTGAGTGATGAAAAATCTGTTAAAAGCAGCCTTTATGAATACGCGTTATCATATGACTTAAACGGCCCCTCTTGAGTGATTATCAGGGTGAAGTTCAGTTAACGTGCAGAACAGGCGGTTTGCGTTTTTCAGGCAAGCGAAAGCAAGCGCGAGGCGGACGTAGAGCACCAGACACGCATGAGGTGGGGGGCGTGAAACAAATAACGCATTTTTTTTCGCCGCTCTTCTAACGTGCGTCTCTGGCGCTCCACGTCCGTCCACGCCCACTTCGCGCTCGCCTTCGGTCGCCTTATTAACGCGAGAAAAATAATGCCTGTTTTGCAGGTCAGTTAATTTCAGTGGAAACTAAATCACAAACGGTAATGAAAATATGTAACTCAAACAAGGTAAATTCTGATCAGTTGCCTCGTCCAATCAGTCAAGGTGGAATTTGGACGGTGATTCAGACATGATCTTTTTAAAAAGGTTTACCCCTTAGAAGAGCGTATTATTAGCGGTACAGATCAAGGAAGCAACTGCTACTATGCAGATTAGCTTTCAAATTGCAGTTGTTTGACGCGGCTTTTAACACAAGCATGGCATATAACAAAACAAGCAAACAAACAAACCACACGAAAAGGAAATCAAGGCAGTACCATTTAAAATTTCGTTGGCCTTAGACGGGCATTCCAAGGTCTCCTCCTCATTCTAATTTAAATCAAACAAAGGAGTAACAAAAGCATTAGCAAAGACGCAATATCAGTCTACTTCTATTACAAAGCAGAGACTGTTGTTTGAGACATTTAAACAGATGGCATCAGTGACAAGATTACCTGAGCTGTATAGGCTTGGAACCATTTCTCCAATCCATTCACCTTAACTGTTTCACCACTGTAGCTCTTCGTACAAAAAGGCTCCTCTTCGGGATGAACTCGGAGTAGATGAAGGCACTCATCCTGAGAACAACTTGTTGATTTATGTTTCGTGCACTGGTCGCCATTTTGCAAGCAGAGACAGCAAGCGACACACAGTTCATACTTGAGGCTCTGCAACCAGGACAGCTCAGACGTAAGGACTTTTAAAGAAGCCTCAACAAAGGCCCGAACCTCATTGGCCATTTTCATTAAGGCAGCTGTCAATGACCCACTCATAGAACGACATCTCTGACTCATCTTCAACACAACCTTGATGAATCTCTTTCTGCAAATTAGGAAAAGCTCGAAGGCACTCTGCTTTCTAATGAAAAGCCTTGCACCATTATTAAATAGCTGTGGAGACTGCTTGAGGCCTTGTTGGGAGCACCAACTGATACACCTTGACAGCAGCTGAGAAAAGAGCCCGTGTGGAACAAATCCATCAGGGAAATGGATATATAGTGGACACGGATCACCATCGGAGGGTGTTATCTTGCATAGACCAGATGGGGATGATCTGAGCTGAGCTGGAACAAAGTATTCTTGCACTTGATCGTCCTTCGAAGACATGCAGGAGAACTTGCCAATTAAGCCATACAGCTCCATCATATCAAGAATGTCCTGCTTTAAAAGGCCATTCTGAATGAAATCCGTGAAAACGTGATCTACAAGAGCCATTCTAAGGATGCCGTTTTCTTCCAGCTCGCGCCAACATTTCGAAAACAAAGGATCCTAAAATTTAGAACAATTCAAGAACATCTCAAGAACATGAATAAATCTCATAGAGGCCTGTTGTTGGTATGGTCGACTTTTGTTTTTTTTTGCAATAACACTGAAGTGCTTACATGCCTAATTCTAGAGACAATCACCAGAAAATTACGAGCGAGGGCTGAGAAAAATGTTTGCGCTATGAAGAGGTTGTCTATTCGCACAGACAATAGCTGTCGATCAACGGACGTAAGAGAAATCGTTCTGTTATGTTAAAATAGTTTATATTAAAAAATGTTATAGTTGTTGAATGATAAGCGACTACATGATGTGCCTCTAATACCTAACGAGTACAAAAACGAGGGAAAAGGTTAATAAAGTCCTCATTAACGGAGGTATTCAAGATTTTGTAAGAGATTTTCGTAAGGGACAGTAAGTGCAGATGTATGAAATATGTATCAGTTTAAGAAGGATTCATATCGGCCCAGGGATACAAACACCGAACCCCGCGAACACAGTTAGAGACCTTTAGATTCGAGGACGAGAATAACTACGAGTACTAGATAGAATTATATTAAATCTTTTTGCGCATTGTCAAAAATAGACACCCCGTAATGCTACCGTAACGTTTATTGAAGGAGATTATGCCCCTTCCCGATCGCAAAATGATAAAACTTCAAACATCTGATAACTCTTGTTTCCGCCACTAGGTTACCATCGCTAAACCTCGTAATAAAAGACGACGGCTGTCACGTTTTTCCCCAATAATGAAACTGGTTCACGCGCGCTTTTCTTTGGATCGAGCAAAATCTAGAACTCGCATTCGTCCTCGTCTTAGAATCTTCAAGTCCCAAATCACTTACTTACCAACTCATTGAAAGGCGAGACAGTTATCAGTTGTTTAAATAGGTTTATAAGCCACTGAGCCTGCAGCACCACAGTATGGCCATGCTTGACTATAACACCAAGATCATGATAGAAATTCAACATGGCCGTCAGCTCCGCATCGTCCTCGATTTGGCAAACTCTTCTGGTGACGGTCAGAATCTGGTTCAGGGACATGTGGAAAATTTTCTTCGCAACCAATGCCTCGACAACTTTTTCGAAATTGAACCACCTATTGTGAACAATAAAGGGACAACGAAGAAATCGTTACAAGCAGAGACGACTGAAAAAGGATTGGAGGTAAAAAAAGTGGGTTTGACTTTGTGTATTTGGTTTTTGCATTAGGAGAATTGAATATTTCACTTTACGCCTAGCTTGCTCATGGAAGAGCTGCAAGTTGTTCTGAGAGGTCTAATTAAACCCCTCAACTGAAATGAAAAAAAAAACAAAAAAAACGACGAAACGCCACGACATTTCATTTAACAACAAAATATGTAAAATTTGCCATTATGCATGAACACTGCAGCTAATTTTGTAATAGCGGAACCTGACATAAGTGAAGTAGACGTGTTATATTGAGTTTCCCTTTAATCGCGCTTTTCAGTCCAATCCAAAAAAGGGTACCGCATTACTACTTTGAATAGAACATACTATTTTGCGAAACATACCTAATTGGTACCTCTTCACCCATGTACGGTTCCCGTTTCAATACTTCCATGATTTTCTTCTGTAGTTTCTGGATCCCGTCATCGCTATGCGACTGAGTGTTATCGACAGCAAAGAATGGCCTGATCACGTGCTCTTCGTAGGTGTTGCCGGAGATACCCTTCTCGATGCACTTTTCCATTTTCTTGGGGTCTTCAAAAGGGTGATCAGCATTTGTACCAACAATGAAGACTGGTGGACGAAGATAGCGCAAGTCTGTGCCTTGATGATCTGAACCTTGTACAGCTTTACTCTCTGTGGTACGTCGAATACTATGAACAGAAACTAACCAGGCCAATAAACTATCCAAATTGGTCTCACTGTTTGGGTTCTCCAAGACAAGATCATGAAAGGGAACAGACTGTGTCCCGAGCCGAAGCCGTGAATCTGAAAACGATTCTAATATGTGGTTTTGCATGTGACGAGCGCCACTGTCTTTCTGTCCTACACTGCGTATCATATCCACGACAGGTCGTTTTAGGCACAGCGTTAAAATGAATTCCTTTGCTTTGATGTCATCATCCAATTTGAGCCGCTCCAAGTATTGAATGACCAACTCTGTGACATCGTCCGACAACGCCGCAGTGGTGTCGATATTTAATTGCACACCTTGATCTGAGGAACTGCTTGAACGTTTCCCCTCTGCATTCCCCTCATGAAGCTCTGAGGTGCTCTCAGGTTTTATATTCGTTGTCGACTCGGCTACGGTTGACAAGGTCTCAGATTGCTTTGGCCTAATGCCGTCCAATTCGCCCCTACTACTCTATAAAACAATCAGGTGTATAACAAGCTTTAGAAAAATATTTCGAAAACGCTGTAATAGAATTTGATCAAACTTTGCCATAATTGAGGCAATTATGGCAGGTAGATACTGCCTTAAGCGATTTCTTAAAAAAAAAAACTCCTGGTACAGAGAAACACAAAGATAAATAAAACAATGTAATGGCACATTACGTTGCCATGGCGACTCCGATTGCAATAAAACCCAGATCATAAGAAATTTTCATCTTCATAAAATACAGTTGTGGAAACCTTTTTTCCATATCTCATGCCGAGTTAATGCTCAAACTTGAGAGGTATCCCCCTAAAAAATCCAGAAGAGCCACCTTAAATTCAACATAGTAAATCAGCAAAAAACGTCTTCACTGTTCAGGCAACAAAAATACAACATTAAACAACAGCAAAACAAAATCAGACGAAGCTGTTGGTTGAGATAATCTGATTGAAAGTATCAGTTTCAAGCTAAAGAAACAAAATCGTCATCTCGACCACAGCAACAAAAGGTTAAAAAAAATGTACAATGTTTCATCAATGGTACCTCTTCTAAGACTTCCGCGGGCTGCGAAATATCTTGTTTGTCAGCTTGTCCCTTACTCAAATCCTTTGCGATGAGCATTGCAATGTCTTTAGCAAACTCAGATACTTCAAGCTTCTTATCTTTTATGGGCTCCCAATTTTTAATTTGGTCGACGTCCACTTGGCATTTTGAAGGATCAACTTCAACTCCNAAAGAATGGCCTGATCACGTGCTCTTCGTAGGTGTTGCCGGAGATACCCTTCTCGATGCACTTTTCCATTTTCTTGGGGTCTTCAAAAGGGTGATCAGCATTTGTACCAACAATGAAGACTGGTGGACGAAGATAGCGCAAGTCTGTGCCTTGATGATCTGAACCTTGTACAGCTTTACTCTCTGTGGTACGTCGAATACTATGAACAGAAACTAACCAGGCCAATAAACTATCCAAATTGGTCTCACTGTTTGGGTTCTCCAAGACAAGATCATGAATCCCTTGTCTGACACAGGGCTCGGCTTCGGCACTTAGACTTTTGCTAAGATTATACACCAAAACGTACACTGCTCGCGGTGACAGAAAGACAGGATGTGACGCATAGTATAGGTGCTGTCCAGCAAAATCCTTTGCGATGAGCATTGCAATGTCTTTAGCAAACTCAGATACTTCAAGCTTCTTATCTTTTATGGGCTCCCAATTTTTAATTTGGTCGACGTCCACTTGGCATTTTGAAGGATCAACTTCAACTCCGACCGTACTCTCTTCCTGTCGGTTGAAAGGCATTCCCAAAAGAGATTTTTTGAGACTCGTTTTGCCCGCCCTGTCCTGGCCAAGTAGCATTATGCGACCACGGTAAACTTTCACCTTTCCATTCTGCAGGGCTTTTTGGAAGGCAAGTTCGGCTTCTGGACCCCGCGCTCGAATCTCTGGTGGAACAAATGAATCTGGTAAAAAAAGGCAGGCGTTAATGATTAGTGACCTATAAAACAGATCATTGGATGTCCAATATTGCACAGTGGATCCGACTTTGACTTTTCACAAGGCCTTTTGCACTGTTTGGCGCACGTCCCCTTCTTTTGATGCGTTTGTCTCCGTTTTGCTGTTTTTTTGTAGATACGTACCCAGAAATAAATAAATAAATTAATTAAGTAATTAATATAAACGAACGCAACAGGATATATTAATTTGGTAATCAGAAACGAATTCAACAAACTTACCGTCCATAAGGTCATAATCCAGCACTTCCTTCACATGCTCGCTCTTAAACAATCCGATTTCCCTGTTCTGTCTTTCACCTAACCAGACAGTTTTGTCTTTCCTACAAACAATTTCAAATCCTTAGGCAAATACCATTTGACCATTCCTGAGGGTTGTTATTAGTGAGGTGCCCTGTCATTATCCCAGCCACATACAAGACTAAATTTCAATCTTACTAAGAGGACACTTTTTCATGGCCCCAGCAAATGCAAACACTGCATTTTTGCCATTCCTTAGGCGGACACCTAAGAATACACTAGATCAAGCTCCCTGAAATCACTGCTTTTTCAACCTTCCTCGGGTGGACGCCTCTCTTTAGAGGAAACTTACCCATATTTCTAGCCACACTCAAACACTGTATTTTTTTTACCCCATTTTAAGGTGGACGTTCCCCTTAGTTAGAGGACACTTAGTCATGCCCTAGTCACATAAGAACACTGCAGTTTTAACCCTTGAAACCAACCCTATTCTTGAGCAGACATTTCCTTTACAACAAAAGTTTCCGCCTTGGGAGGAAACGACTGTACTTTAGAAATTGTCATGGCTTACGTGTGCCTGTCCTTGGCGATCAATGTTATCAACTCTCCAGTTCTATAGCCGATAAAACGCGGTGACTCGGCAACAAAACTAGTAGTTACTCTCACTTTCGATGGAGACTTCTGCAAAAATAGAATGTGGTGAAACCAATCAGCAGCAGAACTCATATCAACACTTTTAAGTAAGAATTAAACATTGGAATCACAATTGCGCCTGTGTAAAGTTATCTATCAGGCGTTTGATCAAGAGATGTTCCCAAGGGAATTTTACCTTGTATCTGTTAGTCATGAGCACAGCTGTATGCAAATTTCAAAGGTCGAGCAGTCTGTATGTATAACAACCCTTAAAAGGTGGTATTGAAATGACTTCCAAAAATAGGACAAACGATATTTTTGAACAAAATGTCATTGTAGCTTAGTTTCGTAACTTATCGAGACAAAAATTGTTCTTAACTGTTTTAAGTCGCATACGATTGGTGCTTAAACAAACGTCGCCCTGTCAAAATGAAATCAACATGCTGAGGATGTTTTGACTTGCAAAGTAACCGCAAGCGACAAACTCGTTTTTATCGGCTGATCAGAGAAGGTCTATTTTTCGAATTCTTCCAGAGGTTAGTTATCCTTGGTGCTGACCAAATGGATCGTAGTCTCTAAGGACGAGATTGACATTTTATTTCAGAATTACTTGTATAAATTACCCTCGTTTTTCTTTTCATTTCTTATCGATCTTAATAGGAGAAAATTAATGATGATAGTTCTTGCCTCTATTGGGCGGACGCAAGCGAGGGTACATGTCGTGGGTGATCGCTTGAGACAGTCAGCTGTAGGCTACTCAGCTCTAAAAAAGGAGTATGTTCAATACAAATACATATACCCAAACAATGAACAAATTAAAGAAAGCAGACAGCAAATTGTTGTTGCTCGAAATATCTAAAAGCTGCAACTGTTCATCAGTGGGATGCCTAAAATGTGTGCAATTCCACAATTGGTTTCGGTTCCATTAAATCCTTTACTTATTGTAGAACATTTTAGGAGGAGCCACCCACAAATTTGAGCACACTGAAAAGGTATATTATGAGAAGGAAAACAACCCAAATTAAGTAAGAGAGCGCACATATTTAATGATGACGATGACGGCACACGTTTACGTACCAGGCCTAAAAACATGTATGAAGTGATTTCGAAAGGGTGTACATGTAAAATATGGGGCTAAAACGATAGGGAATCCACATTAAAAGAAAAAAAAAACAGCGCTTACTATTACGCACTAAATATCGCAAATTTATATTTATAAAACGTTATTAAGAAATCGGCCTGCTGAAAACCATAGCTTAAATTACCATGTAGCCGATCTACGATAATTGACACACACTTAAGTAAAGGAAATTTTAAGAAAAATAAGAGAAACAGACGTGCGTGAAAACCTACTTGTGCAAGAAGTGATTCCCTGATTTCCTTAAACGACAGTCTTGCTTCTGGGTTTTCTCGCAAACAACGATCAAAAACGTCGCAAAAATGAAAAGGGCAAGCGTAGGCACCTGTTCTATTAGTCTATAACCAAGAAAAGAATAAAGGGGGTGTTACATACCACCATCAGGTGGGTTAAAAATATTTTGGACATATTTTGGTTAAAAATATTTTTCTAACTTAATAACGAACTAAATATTATCAACTGTCTCCCAAAGGGGAGGTAAATAGTGGTAAGGATAACGAGACGCGAAGCATCGAGGTATATATCTAGCGCTATGCACCGACACTGAGGGGGATAGTTGATCTAGTATTTACCAAATCAGTTGGATAAAAATCAAAAAGGAACTTTGCTAGAGTATGGTGGCCTAGAGCTGCCATAGGGATTTTGTTATATTTTCAACTTTTTTTCTTTTATATGAATGGTTTTAGTCATTTCCTTTTGTTTATTTTATTTTATTCATTTTATTCCATTTTTTATTTTTATTTCATGTCATTTCATTTTCAAAACAATTTAAAATGAAATTAAATGAAATTAACCTTAAAGCGAAGTCAATTGAAAGAATATGAAATTAAAAGAAATTGAAACATTTTTGACTGTGGCCTAAAGCTGCCATAGACCAAGACAACTTGCGGGCTCGACCTTGTGACAAGTCAACATGGCGGACAGGAGAAAGAAATCTTGGGGCACGTTTAAGAACGAGATGAAAGCAAAGAGGCGTAAAACTGGAGATGGCGGTGCGAAGAAAAACGAAAAAGGCAACATTCTTGAAAGACAAGAATTGGTAGTCCAGAGACTGAGCTCAGAAGTATCAGGGAAAGCCCAAAAGTATACTAGGGTAGGACCCTACGAGTTCGTGCAGTTCGATGAGGAGGAACTCTCCACTGAAGGGATCAAAGCGGCTTGCGAGAAACATTTCTCACCCTCACTGGAACGCAAAGGATTGTTCTGTGACGTTTTGGCCGGTGAGCAGGGGCCATCTTGTCGCTTTGATCCCTTCAATGGAGAGTTCCTCCTCATCGTACTGCACGAACTCGCGGGGCCCTACCCTAGTATACTTTTGTATGGTGGCCTAGAGCTGCCATAAGGATTTTTCAATTTCTTTTAATTTCATTTACTTTCAATTGACTTCGCTTTAAGATTAATTTCATTTAACACAGAAGGTTTTGATTTCCTTTCATTTTCATTTTAAATTGTTTTGAAAATGAAATGACATGAAATAAAAATAAAAAATGGAATAAAATGAATAAAATAAAATAAACAAAATGAAATGACTAAAACCATTCATATAAAAGACAAAAAAATTTGAAAATATAACAAAATCCCTATGGCAGCTCTAGGCCACCATATACTAGTTATAAAAGGAACAGGGTGAAAATCAACAACAACATGCTGGAAAAAAAGAGTTCATTTACTCCCCTACAATAATTTAAAGATAAACACTAACTGATCATAGTGCTCGTTACAATGAAGATCTTCCAAAGCACACTTTTGAAAGCCGCGCACCATGATTGCCCAAACCAAGGTAGACCAAGTCCAAACTGGATTGGGAGAACACTAAAAAAAGGGACGCCCTACTCGATTACGCCTTGTGGAAAGATTTTGTCCGAAGGGCTCGGGATGAACACCGGCCTAAGTGAGTAACAACAATTTTAATATCTGGTATTATCTTTTAAAAAATAGGTAACACGCAAGCAGCCGCATACTACATATCTAATCCAATCAAGCGTCAAAAGGCTACCTTGAAGCTGCTGACTACAGCGAATTCATTAGAGAAGAGCTGGGCAAACTGGTACACCACGTCCTTCTGAGTATAACCTGGCTTCTTTCTGAAAAAATTCACAAACTAGACTGCAAAACAGTCCGTATTTTTGCGTATTCAACTACGCGCAAGCAGTGAAACAAAAGGTCTGGAACGAGGCTGAAAACAGAGAGCAAGACTGGGGAGAGACGCTAAAAATACGGTTTTTTTCTCTCGCCTCATACGCCCGTAGGGCGTGTGAGGCTCGCGCGCTTCGCGCGCGTAAGACTCTTACGCCACGCTTTACCGATTTCTTTACTGATTTTGAGGAAAAAAAAACCGACTGTTTTGCAGTCTATTCACAAACACGTTACCCTACAACTTGAAAATGGTAACAAGTATCGCAAGAGATGGGCAGGGGAAGGAGGAGAGTCTAGCGTGCGTTATTATCGGTCTGTTTTTGTAACTTTTGGTATATGTTAAATTTTTTTAAGACAATTTTTTTGCAAAAAAAACATGGAGAAAGCCCCTCCGCCTTCTCCCTCTCAAAAAAAATTCTATAAAAAATGGTAAAAACCGCGGACTTCAACAATCACAAAGGGTACATACCAGTAACACACGCAAGATTCTAGTTTTCAAAAGAATTAATGGACGCTTCTGTATGAGCCTGAGAAAAGACGACGTTTCGCGACGCCCCCAACGGTTTCCCCGCGAATTGACGTATGACAAACGAGCCCAGAAATTCCGTACTGATGACGTGTCATCACCCAGATCTGGGTAGTGCTTCTAATTGGTTGAAGCACATTTGACCAGCGATACGACCAATAGACCTTATTCACGATACCCGCCATCTTTGCACGCGCTCTAGGATCGACGGGATAAAAGCCATGTCATGTGATATTTCAGGGGGCAAACAAGTGATAAAATTTGCCAATACGAGTAATCGCGGTCGAGTTTATTAAATCTATCA